ACAGTGGGACTCGGGTGTTACATCCATTGTAAACAGTCATGACTCACAGAGTTAATTTCAGAGGATATACTTGATTTCTATTATATTTAAGTGTGAAAAATCGCATATAAAGACTTTAACTAGTTAAAAAACACATTCTAATATCTGTCATCATGTACAACTCCTTTAAAGTCTTTTGTTCTACATTTACATTCACTGTTTTATAGTTTGTATTGTAAGTGAGCTATTTATTTGCCAGTCACCTGTACTACAATGTGACTGTCATAGAGTATATCTTTATAACTGCAATGATTTAAAGTTTTTAAATAATTTTCAATTTATTGGATATGACACCCACTAGGATGGTGACAAATGAAACCAAACCATGAACTCAAAGTAAGGGAAATAATCTCTGCATGTTGTTTAGGGTTTGAGCACATGCAAACACAAGAGTTGCATTACATCAGAGCCATTATGGTTAACCAAAGCAACTACAGCTTCAATACAATCTGCTTTCTTTTCATCACAGCCTCGACCTTCAAAGTTACTTTATGGCACTTTGACTTTTTCTTTTAATGGAGTGGGTGTTTAGATCAAACATGCTATTGGGGAAGTAGCTCCTGAAAGAAGAAGTGATGCCTAGTATGAGTCTGGGGCTTGGATTACAGTCATGTGACCTCCAATTGTGGTACAGGTGCACCCTCTCGAATATAGTTTGGGGTGGAAACTCCAACACTTCCCTATCCGGTTTATGAGGTCTAGTTGAAGTGATTGTTCTCATCCTGTAGTAGTGGGAGGTTACTTTTTGTGTTATTTGGTTCTTTCAGTCAGAGTGTCATGATCTGGAATTGAATGAATAGAGTTTTGAGCTTTTGGAAAAGCTGAGGTTTGAGGTTTTACTGCCGTGGAACTTCTGGTGTTTCACCTGCTTTAATTTCATGATTAGGTAATCAACTTTGAAATAGCTTCCTGGCCAGAAGTATATGGACGCCCAAGCGTATTCTGTATTGACTTTTGCCATATCTGTCATATTCTTGTCATATATATAATTCCAAAACTATGGTGATTAAAATGCTGTTGTTAAAGCATCTGTACTTCAAAGAAAGTTCCTTCTAATTGCAACCAAGCTGTGTGCATTTTCTTCCTATTCAGTAAAATTGCATTAGTAAAGCCAGAATGGATACTATAGTTAACGGGTTAAGGCCGAGGATTGCATTGGGGTTACAGTTCTTCCTAATGATGGAGGTTAGGAGTTGCATGGACTCCATTATATCGTGCCATTTATTCAGATGCATTAAAATTGTCCTTAATTAAAACAAAGGGTCCTAGCCTATAATGTAAAACAAAAAACTGAGATCTTCGCCCACCTAAGTATGTGGTCAAGAATTATAATATTGGCTGAAAAAATGTGTTTCCGGCTATAATTACCTCCTTCCTTTCTTGTGAATTTGTCTGCTTTTCGCCTTCGGAATCAATGAAAACACTTGGCTTTGTCTTGCATCAAAAAACAGCAGTGCTTCATGGTCGATGTCCCAGGGATTTTTGTTCAGAGTTCAGTACAAATATACAGCAAACTTTTTGATGATATATTTTTTTGAATAAAATCCCCCAAATTTCACCTCATGCACTTGATCAAAGGTTTCTAGTGGTTGTGCCTCGTGTCCAGATATTTCCTAGCATTTCCACTTGAAACTTATTTCTTCATAATAATGTAATGTGAACATTTTATTTTGCTACTTTTCATTATTTGATTTAGGGTCATTTAAGGCCATCTCTGATATAGTATAAATCTAAAATCCTACCAAGTCCCAGGTGCTGGGATTTCTTTTGTCTAAACTTTGTTTTTGTTTTAATGTGTGAACAAAATCAGTCCAATCATTCAGTAATTTCTATTTTGTCTCCAAAAGTTTCACTTTGACTTGGGAGAAATTTTGAGTCTATCCATCCACTGAAGATCAACATTTCATCCCTCATGTTGTTCACTGTTTGTATTTCTCCTGTCAGGCTGCAGAGTGGGGTGAACCTGCAGGTGTGTTTCGTGAACGACAGCAGCAGTGACAAAGACAGCGATGCCGAGGACAGCAGGACAGAGACAAGTTTGGACACACCACTATCCCCGTGGTATGCATACAGAGTAATCTCTGTGTTTTTGTGTTTGTGTGTACCTGTTTCACCCCACTACTAACTGTTCAAACAATCTCATGCAACACCATATCGGTAGTAACATCATGAAATCACTCAAATCTTACTTTACTTCTTCTCCAGAGCAAGCAGAGCTCATCGTTATCAGACCGAGACACGGCAGAGGAGGACTCAGACCCGTTGGATGACTGCAGTGGGTTCTGGCGGGTGCAGCGGAGACTGCAGGAGGAGGCCCGGGTGGCGCTGGCTCTGGCTCGACCCATGGCCCGCATGCAGGTCGAGGTGGAGAGGCAAATCCAACTGCACCGACGTTCACCTGTGGCTGACCTGGTTAGTCAGTGAGGAAGAGAAATACAGACCTGTGTGTGTGTGTGTGTGTGTGTTGGAGCTCTTAATTCCTTCTTCCATAAAAAAATATTTCCAGAAATTATCCAAGACAAATAATATCCAAGCCATAATTGAAGGGGAATGAAGTGCAAGTACAATTACTGACAGAAAACAAAGCACAATAAAACTGCAACCTCAGCAGAAGATCAGACTTGGTTTGTAATGGTGTTTTTGTGTGAGAGACATTAGAAGAAACCTATTGATTACGAGTAAAATATGTCTCATGTTGTGGCTATGTGCATTTTCACATACATATGCAGCTTCCCCATCTGCCCCACATCAGCGAGTGCTTGATGAAGAGGAATCTGAGACGAGGGGACATGAGGGATATGAGTCTAGGACAGCTGCAAGTCATCACAAATGACTTACACTCACAGATCCAGAGTGAGTATCACACACACAAGAGCAAACACACAAGCATGAAAAGGTAAGTCAGGTTCAAACAGGAATTAACGAAGTATGATTCCCCTCTGTATATGAAATATGAAATCAACAATAATGCTGGGGAAATTGCTTTCTTCACATTGAAATGAAATTGTCTTACCTCTTCTCCTCTCTTCCTGAATCAAACACAGGCTTAAATGAGGAGCTGGTGCAATTGCTGCTGATAAGAGATGAGCTGCATGTGGAGCAGGATGCCATGCTGGTGGACATAGAAGACCTCACCAGGTGAAGCTCCCTTTTTTCTGTCTTCATCATTCTGTCTGCAATATGAATTTGAAGATGTGATTGATATTCTGTGCGGGTTCTAACGTACTTCATGTCTTTGTTGTCACAGGCACGCTCACAGCCATCAACGGCACCAGGCAGAGAAAGCTATGTCTAAATAAACACACCCTGTCTACACTTGTGTTCATCTGCACGCCATCATACCTCCTGCTCCATGGACTGTCACCAGTGTTACTAATAGACTTCATCTGTGCTGTTTGTGGAGAGAAAAATCCACAATTTACTGTGATATTAACACACAAGCACACACATAGTGTTATGCACCACAGGATGAAGGAAAGAGGACACCTTCTATAAGAAGCCGAGTGATCAGCGCTCTCTGTTTGGACAGGCTGTGTAGGCTGTTTACTCACCAATGGGCACGCTCAATCACACATCATTTCATAGAATCTTTTCCTTCATAGCCTTGATTTACCTCCTCAAGATTTCGCACGGTGACTTATAGGGGCCACACCTGTCTTCTTTAGTTTGTCTTTATAATAATCAAGCTGATTGATCTATTCATCTTTAGACTACTGTTCACATATTACATTTATTTCACTAAAAGCACTGTGCCATTGCTGTTTAACACTGGAATTCACTATTAGACATATAAATATATACCGTGTGGGCTGTTGCAATAAAAAAAAAAAATACAAAAGAGAGGACTTTGCAGGATTGTTTAGACACAAAAGTAAATGTAACTGAATAGCTGCTATAGGTTAAAACTGCTTTAAAGATTGATTAAGAGCTAAACTATTGAAATGTATGGAGTTTTTGTAATGTAAAATGGATCTATCTACTTGGTATAACAGACAAAATGACAAAATATTGGTTAAAATTTGATATTAGGATATAGGGCTATAGAAAAAGTTGAATGAAAGACATGTTAAACACCTCCTAAAGAATAATATGCATCTGTTTGGTTATGATCAATTTACTGATGCCAAAAATACCACCAACAAATATAATTTAAAAATCATAGCCTCAACATATATCTATTTTATCTGTTTAGAGACTGGAGCTTTATGGGCGCACTGTATGTAATTGTTAAAAGATACTTTATTAAAAGGATAAAGAACATGCCTTGTTGGCAGTGTTTAGATGTTTTCACTCGCACCTTTTTAAAAATGTCACTTATCACAAAAATTAAACATTCTTTTTTTAATGTATGCTTCATGGTAACTGTACTGTGTAATGATTGTAAAAAAGAAAAAGAAAAAAAAAAGAGGAAGGATCATGTAATAAATGTTTCAAGTGTGTGAACGTGGTTTTCATTTCGCTTGTTTCACCTGACTCAATTTACATTTCATATTCCTGCTAATTCTGTGTGTGTAGATGACAGCAACAACAACAAAAAAAACAGACTGATAACACAAACAGAGACAATGATTCATCGAGTGCACCTTGGGAAAATGAGTCTGCTCTCATTCACAGATTCAGAGTTGCATAAAGGTCAAGGTCTGGTTTCCCTTCACATTCACACATTTGTTGACACTTATGTAACTGAGTTTTGTGTAGAACTACAGCAAGTGGGAGGGAAATAATTATTGACTCTGGTTATAAAAATAAAACTCATACACTCATCATCGAAAAAAGAAAAACTGCAAAATTATTTTGTATTGATATTAATTATGATTTCAGTTTAATATAACATATAATGCCTTCACTCTCTTTTTGGGAATGTAAACAATGAAAAGAAACTGGTGAACCTCACCAGTAATTGTATGTTAATTCCAGTTTCACTATGTGCATTTAGTGCTGCATAGGGTGTGTGTGGGGGGGGGGACCTTACAACCCTGACTCTGCTCTTTCAATTTACAGTTAAGTGTCAACACATTGGTTTACAGAGGGGGAAACCCTTTGTTCAGTCTGGGTATAAAATACTTAAGGATGTTTGAGTTCAGTCAGTCACACCAAAGAAAATCTTCAGTTTTGTCCAAGATGGCCTGCTTCAAGCTCTGTGAGTATCATTGCATCCTGACTGAATGTTGTGTTCTTTATAGCAAGTATTTAAAACTAGAGATTAACTTTGGTAACTATTGTTTTTTCTGCTTTTGTCAGATTTCTCTCCTTCACTGCTGCTGCTGGTGCTCGCCTGTCCTCTGTGGCAGGTCAGCCAGTCCGTGCCAGTGATGAGTCAAGGTCCACTGACGGACTCCTGTGTTTTTTATGCACAGACACTTCTACAGAACATCACTGAAACTCTCACACAGGTGGGCAAAAGTCAACAAGATTCATTTGTACACGTTCATCTTAAATGTGTCTTCAACTTAAAGTGTAAAAACTCTCTTCCTTTGTCTAGAAAAATCTGTTCAGTGGAATGGACTGCTCCCAGCAGAGTGTGGAGATGAACACAGAGACCAGCACTGCCACTGTGTGCACACCAACGGTAAGTAACTCAAGGCACTTTATTTAATATTGTTTCTTCAAATAAAAGTAATAGTTTTGAAACCGTATTTGATGTGGCACATAAAGCTCCATTTTATGTCCATATACATTGACTGAGCTTGTTTGACACTGTCTGTCTCACAGGAATCAACATGCTCGGGAAGCGTGAAGTCAGAATTCAACCGGGTAGGTTGTGCTCTAATCCTATAAATAAAAAATACATGTAAAAAGCTTTATTTTTGTTCATACTTCTGCTTGATGAAAGCCAAATTGTCAAGTTTTTAAAATGTACACATTACATACACAAGGAGAAAACCATAAGTAGAAATTACTCACCTTGACACATAGTTAAGCAGCTTCTTTTGGCAGTTACCTTCAGCGGCCTGATTAGTAACTACAAAAAAATGCAATCTAATACAACTATTCAGTCATAAAATCCACTCGTATGCTGCTTGAGATGTTCAGTTTTTTGCTGCATTCGTAATAGAAGAGTAAATAATGTGATATGTTTAAGTACTGAGCTCATTAGCTATAGCAGGACTTAATATATAATAGTTTCCAATGTTCTGAGGCCAATCATTTTAAACTGCTCTGTTTATTACGTTCTCAAGTACAACAATACTTTTAAGTTGAACCTTTATGATACATTTGATTGATTAACATATTTCAGACTGTAAGGACTAAAACCAGAAATTATGGGATCGTAAATATAGATGTTAAGCATGACAAGACAAGCATGTCTTTTTAGGACTGTGTAGAATTCTATATAGTAAACCTAATACCATATACTGTATATTGTGATTATTTCCTTTGTGGCTTTTCCATCAAGGAGTTGTGTCTGACAAACATCAATGAAGACCTGCATCATTATTACAAATTTCTATCTGCTCAGCCGGATCCTGACAACTTACTCGGCCAATCTGTTCTGCTCAGCCTCAGGGAACTCATGGAGGTAACTCATTGTTTAAATCACTGACATTATTCATCAATGTTGTATAATACTATGTGGAGCCATTCTTAAACGGAACAAAAACTGCAGGCCTCTGGTTGTTATGTGCACATAAAGCTTTGAAAATTGACATATCTTGTATAGGTCACCATTAAAGAAGACACTTTGTGTCAAAGATGTTACAAGTGTTATTTCTTCTCAACAGAACTGCTTTCAAAGGTCTCTGCCGAGTGTTTTGGCTTCAGTGGAGGTAAGAGATCTCTTAATGTACTTCAATGTTTTACGCGACCTTGTGTCTGATTTTTCAATGAACTAATTCTTCTTTGATTTCAAGTTTATAAACATAACTAATAAAAATCTCTTGGCACGTCATTTTAGAATATAGAAATAGTTTTTATTGTCAATAAATCAATCATAGAGTTTCCAACTTTTTCTCTTCTTAGGAAGAACGTTGAACTTGGCGTAAATAACTGATAATTTCTCTGTTTCTTACAGAGAACTGAAGAGTCCTTTGAGAAAAGGTTGAGTCTCTGCAAAGTGCTGAAGGGCTTCTACGTCCGCACCATCACGATCAACAGAGTCATTTCATACATACACTCTGGGGAACTCACTCAATGATTCCTCCAGCTCTAACAGAGAACAACTTTATAAACAAGTTAGATTAATTAGTTATAACTCGTGTTACATTCAAGTAACCCAGTTGTGACAGAAAACACTTCTAAACCTAAATATTTATTATTGTTATGTCGTCATTATATGAGCTTATATTTGGCATCAAGATGGTGTGTTAAAGCTTAGTCAATTCACAGACTATTTTATTTATTTAATAATATTTTTTCCCATTTGGGATTATTTATTTTAAACTATTTATTGTCATGTTGTTCACTTGGTTCTAAGAATCACCAAATAAAGTTATTTTTCCTGCATGAATTCTGCTGCTTGGATATTATTTAACTTTGATTACTAAAAAAGTATTGCTGTGGTCTGATTTGTGTTTTATTCTCCTTAATAAAGGGAATCTACAGTGACAGCTAATGCATATTGATCAAATTCATCTATACAATGTCTTTTTCCAAACTGATTAATAAAATAACAAAGTCTTACACACAATACTGTATGTGGTTTAAAGATAACATTATGGTATTCTTTTACTTACAAGATGCTACAAATAAATTAAAAAATTTAAATTATTTTCAGACCTTGGTTGGAAGTTCCTGTGTTAATTGTAAGCAAGACAACAAAAGTAAAGTCCAAAAAGAGTCTTCTGATTTTTGGAAGGATATGAAAGTCAAACATTTGTAGGGTAAGTTTTGGGATTCAACCAATATTGGAAACAGAATCATTTAGGAACAGGGTTTTCCAATAAGTTGAATGTTTTAGTCTATAGAAATAAAACAGAGCAGCAAGAGCCACCCTGTTGAAAACGTGTATACTTTTACAAATTTATATCAATTAACAGTGGAAAGTCCATAGGATGTCTCAGTTTGATGAAGCATTTTTTGGCACTTTATTTTGTCAGTGATATTTTGAAAGTGAAAGCCTGCGTTGCTAACATAGCCCCACTGTAAATGAATTAGAGCTCTTTGTTTCAGATACTTTTATCCTCTGTTCGGTAGAATAGACACAGATGAGGTTTGTGGCTTTTGGGGTTGAGAGAGATCTATGACGTTCTTTCCAAAGAGAATGTCTGAGACAAAGGAACTGAAAAGGGGGTTCAGAGTCAGAAAGATATGACCCTTCTATGGACACAACCTATTTTTTTTTACTGATGTTAGTTTTTCCACAATGACCACCAAAATAGAAAAAAACTAAGTATTGATAAAAAGACAAGCCTTACTTGAAAACATTTACACTACAGTATACATAGTGTTGGTTTGGTTTGAGAGGTTGAAGGGCTGATGAATATAGACTGGAAAATGTTAATTCAGGGGAGTTCTATTGACTGATTACTAAGAATTAGCCAACATTAGATAATTTAGTAAAGTCTTACAGAAACAGTGATATGATCTCTCTCTTTTTAAAAGTTTAATTGAGCTAAATTGTTAGTTGGATTTCTCCATTCATATCTCATGAGAAGTAATGTTTTTTGTACTACAATCTTTGTTCTTGTCTGCATTTTATCTGCAAGGCTCATTCCAGCATTTTTTTTTTTTTTTACATACATAAATACATAAAAATAAAACTTTTTTTATTTTCATGCTTAATAGCTCTAAAATCTCGCTTTGTGCAAAAGGGGCAGCCTGAAAGTCATTACCCGGAAGGAAATATTTGTATGTTTCTGAACCTCGAGAATTTCTTACCTTGCTTTTACACGTAGGCTACAGAAAAACATACAGTCTTAATCAAATTGTAATGCTTACACATCTCCTAAATGATATGTTGATGCTGCTTTTAATACTTAAGAGCAAAAACAGAATTGTATACCGTAAACATTGCCGCCTACATACATTAACGAACAATCACAAATTAATATTTCGAATTAAATTATTTTCCATATTCAATTCTGTCACAGTAGATACAAATGGTGTCACGGGTTCAAAAACTGAAATTACTTTTGCACATGTACTGCCACCTAGTGGAACATATAGCTTAAAGCATTTAGTTTACAGCTAGCCCGAGGACCACACTACCAAAAAAGTAGGCCTATAGTAGCCTATGTAGGCCTATATTTCCAGATGTTTAATTGATAAGATGAAGTAGAAATGATAAACAGCGTCCTTGAAACACGTTCGAAATCACTATACAAGTATTACGTCTGTGACACATTGCTTGAATCGTTTAAATCCTTTCGCCCAGGTGTGTTTGAAAGCTCAAAATCACCGGAAATTAATTACAGCTGCGGCGATTTCTTCAGAGGGTGTTGGACACGACACTCCGTCATAACCCATCCGAGGCTAAGAATGGACCGAAACTTTCAAAGAAATATTTTTTGGGGGATTATCTTCCTTATCTCAGTTTCCACACTTACAGAAAGTCACTTAGCTAATAGCCAAGGAGGCTCAACGAACTCTCATATACGAGGCAGCAGTTATGGAAAAATTCAGACTGAACACACGGATCTCAAAACGGAGCAGAGCGCTCGACCTCGGCCTGTTATGGTCAACTGTTACCCGGACTCCATGGAGGTATTGGTGCAGGCAGACATGTTTGATACAGGCCTTCAGGTAGAGGGTAGACACCTGCACCTTGGCTCAGATTCAGTGAGTGAAGGGAGTTCGTGTGGAGCAGAGCCATCGGGAGAAGCCGAATTCATCATCCGGACTAAACTCATGGACTGTGGTACTAAACTCTCAGTAAGGAGTCATACACTTTAGACTGGAATTATTTGATTTATTTTTTTCAACCTGTGTCAGGTGCTCACTAACTTGGAGCAGGGTTAGGTCTTTTCTTGTTATATTCCATGTAGAATGTTACACTCTCAAAAACAGTTTAATTGTTTTTCAGTCAACAAAGGAGAAGATCATTTATTCTAACATACTGGTCTACTCACCTGAACCTTCTCATGATGGTTTACTTAGACTGGATGAAGCAACTATTCCAGTTGAATGTCATTATGAAAAGTAAGTTGATTTTTAAATACGTTTATTAATGCATTATCCCATGTCAGAAATGTTTTGTTTTTTTTCAAATATGATGTGATTTAATTCTATCATACCCTCTCCAACATTTAAGCAAACTTGAATTGTTGCTTTGTTTTTTTCAGGAAGTATGCAGTGGATGGTGTTTCCCTACATCCCTCCTGGGTTCCTTTTGTCTCCAGGGCCTCAGCAGAGGATCAGATAAACTTTAATCTGCTACTCATGACTGGTAATAAGAGGATGGTATTGCTACAGCACTTATTTTATATCTCACTCATCCTCAGATTCATGTAAAGCTGTAGCTTTTGTGATGATTTTAGTATGATCTCTTTGAGTGTTTGTGCTTCTGATTTTCGTCCCGCTACATCAGATGATTGGCAGTTTAAAAGAGGATCGTATTCCTACTTCGTGGGTGACCCCATTCATTTCCAAGTTTCTGCTTTTATCCGTAACCACATTCCTCTGCGAGTTTATGTTGACCACTGTGTCGCCACACCAACTCCTGATACTGAGACTATACGATACGACTTTGTTGAGCGTCACGGGTGAGCTTCAAAACCAAATCTTTTAAAAAAAAAAATAAATAAATAAAAAAAAGGAAGGGGAGAAAATCCTTCAGCTGTATTTGTTTTATTTTCAAATTGATTCATTTACATGTATGTGCCTTGTTTGCTACCTTCTCAGATGTCTTGCTGATGCTTACCTGACAAACTCCAAATCCCATTTTCTACCAAGACTTCAAGACAACATGCTGAGATTTCAGCTCGATGCATTCATGTTCTACAATGAGAATAGCAATCAGGTTGGTTAATTTCTCTGCTTTGTCTTTCTATTTATGGTTTCTTGTTCAAAATATTTAACATAAAACTCTCTCCCAAAGATCTACATAACCTGTTGGGTGAAGGCCGTTCCAGTCAGGTTACCTGTCAGTTCTTGGAATAGGGCCTGCTCTTTCATTGAGAACAGGTATTATACCAATGATGCAGATATTATGTAACCGACATTGTGAGTTCTCTCACTAGTGTCGCATTATGTCACCTCATTTGAAAATGTCCTGTTGTCTATACGTATAACTCTGAGATCCAACAAGTATGTCCTTTTTTTTCAGTAGTGACTTGCACTAATTTTGAGAATTGTCTTCTTATTCAGTTGGCGGTCTGTTGATGGGAACGACCAGGTTTGCAGAAGCTGTGATATCTCCCATCCAGTTGAGGAACCTCCATCCACAGAGCCTCTTACAGCTACCACCAGCACCAAAGCCTGGCACCCCATGTCTCCACAGGACAGTTCAGTCCAGCATACACAGGAACACCATTTGGCCGCACACTTTCGCGTTCGTCCAGGAATGCAACAGAGCAGACACAACAAACCTCAGCAGACCTCTGCTGGGCTAATGAAAAGGGAAGCGGAGTACCAAGCAGGTGAGCACAACATTAATTACATTTACCTCATACTCGTTTTACTCTTGTACATTTTAAACTAACTTTATGGCTATATTTATATATACAGATCAAACTTCTAATTTAAAACAGGACACTGCACTGTAACGATTGAATTCTTTTTTTTTTTTACTTGTGTATTTGTTTACCTGTTTATCAGTTTCTGTTTTTCTTTAATTATAATCTGGAATTACAATTTATTACAAACTATTAAAAAATCTGAATGTCGTCACTAAAACTCTTGAAGAGATACTCAACCCGTTGAGTTGACCCGTTGGGTCATATATGTAGTAGAAATGTGAAATAAATTCTGAAGTTGGTGCCTTCTTGGCCGTGAAAAGGCAGAAAGTGTCTTTTTGGCTCATGTGGATGAAAGACACCAAATCCCAGCATGCACAGCACCGCAGGCCACTCCCACTAAGGACCTCTAGTTCAGAATCAGAAATACTTTATTAATCCCAGAGGGAAATTTGATCGTACAGTTTCTCCAAAATATACAGTATAGCAGTAGAAATATAGTAATAAAAACATTTACAGACATATTTACTTCAACACATGAGGCCATTTCCTCAACTGATTCAGAGATTTCTTCCAGAATTGATCTTGGAAATTCCTGGCAGAAAACAGACTCTATGTCTGTGTCCATAGGCAAACAGTGAGAGCACCGACACTACCAGTCCGCCCCAGCTCGAGCCGGCTCCTCATCCTCACCGCCGCCGACAGGCAGGCATCATGTCTCGGCTGGCAGCGGTCGGCGGCGGCAATATAGCCGTGAGACCGTTGATGCACGGCAGCAGCAGCCAAAACACAAGACTGGCCTGTCGGCAGCAGCCGTCTCGCCGCTATATTTATATTTTTTCCTTATTATCAGCTTTCTCCATAGAGCCTGTTAGCATAGCTTCCAAGCAATATGGCAGACGTTAAGTTTCGATTCTGGGAGTGAGTTCCCACCCACTGATCTGTGATTGGTCTGTAGCTTCAGTGGTCGAAAATATGACGAACTAGCGTTGTAGTTTCACCCTACTAACCACAACAGCTTCCAGTGACGCAAAAATCGTCATTTTGTGTCACTGGAAGGTTCTTTTCAGACTTAGAAATACAAAGATTTCCCATGTCAGCGGAAAATGATGGCGGGATGCACAACCATTCAAAATGGTTATACCTGGTAGACCATTCATACTACCAGGTTTCTAATGATACAAAGCTTAATGCAAATGGGTGAAGTATCCCTTTAAGTCATATATATATATATGTACTAGAAATCTCTTTGTGATAAGTTACTAATTGAAACTGAGAATTTTGAATAAGACAATTTCTTTTACAGAGCAAACTGTCAAGATGGGTCCCATAACTGTCCTGCAAACCAGTAAAACTGACACGAGGCCAACAGATTCCAAAACATCCATTTCCCTACAGAACAGGAACTCCTGAGACTCCTGATTGCACTGTAGAGACTGTTCAGAGATGAAAGAACACAATTTCTTTTTGCCATGGTGATGTAAACTGACATCTTGGATTTCTATGCTACTCACTTAAAATATGACCTCATTTGAAACAAAATGTTTTCCTGTGAACTTACTGTGCAAACATTTCCATAAACTACAGTGAAGTTCTTATATTTTCTGTATACTTGTCAACACATTTTCCACAATAAATACAAATTTTCATTTGCAGTTTATTATCTTTCCATAACAAGTGTACATACAATTATTTGATATCTAGTCTTTACAAAATCCAGTAAATGAGCACTCAAGCTAAGAACTTGATACACCCGCAGGCGACAATTTAATTAGCATTGGTTTTGAAGCACTCAAGGTCATTGGGTCTAAACAACAATAATTTGATGATATGATGCTGTGTTGTGTGTTTGTGTATTTTAACACAACACAAAATGCAACCTTTTAGCAGAGATTCATTCAACATCACAAGCTATTTTGAACAGTTGAGAACAGCAGTAATGCTATCAGCGAGCACTCTCCTCCATTAATACCCGCAACCAACTCATCTTGTAGGTACTTTATTGATTAATCACTGAGAGGGTATTTAATGCAAACCAAGGCACAGCTCTGTAGAATATATATATATATTTTTTTTTTGGAAATTATAAATTTGAACAAATTGATGTAGCCTTAATGTTTATCAATTACAATAATTACAAATTAAACTGCTTTTAGCAGGTACTGTGTGTTAAGTACTTTTCTTTAAAAATGTATTTAGACAGAAATCTTTGTGGACATGAGCAGTGCTTTGCACTTACAGCATCATACACTAAATGGACTTCTACAAAACCATTGGAAGCCTTTTAAGGATAGACCTGACCCCTTAATGTACACTAGTATTAATATTTAAAATGGAAATCCGTGGTGCTCTTGCCAGTTGAAACATTTACTAATTTATTTTTATTTTGTGTCAGAACCTCGGACAGCGCCCATCATCGTTCTCATTGTGCGTGTTGGTCGCTGTCCACGGTCCTGAAACACCCACAGTGACTTTGGTGGCGTAGTGTCCCCTCCCACAGTCCCAATTGATCATGTGTTACTTCTTCCTCCGACGCGACTGGTCGATTTCCTGCGCGCCGGTTTACTTCAATGTCAGATCAATAAGACATTGTATGTAAGTCTGTTTGTACGATCAGTAGCACGTCATCAGAAATAGCGGCTAAGTGCATAATAAATGAGGTGCACACTAGTCTCATGAGTCAAGATTTTTAACATATGTTGAAGGAACACAAGCTATCTGGAGAACTAAAATCTTAGCTACGATGTGTGAATTGTTTAGTACCATAGAATCTTTGGACCTATTGGATTGTTTTGATGCTGAAAGTTTTTCAGTAAATCCATTTGTTCAGCGGGCTACATGATGCGTCAGCGTGTCGACAAACGCATCCTTCAGCGTATTATCCACAAGTGACAGGTCTTGTTCCACCCAGTTTCCCAAGCTTTACTATCGATTCACTGGATCATTTCTCCACTTTTAAAAACGCATCAGAAATGTCTTTTTACATTTCCAAAACCCTGACCTTGTTCACTGCCTACTTTCTTGCTCGCACGGTGGTTTATTCCATCCAAAAATGCGGACAGGACATTTGTCGGGATGACCAAGCGTGCTGCATGTTAAGGAACGACACTAACGCCGTAACCTGTTGCAAACAGCTCGTGGACAAGACATACTACAACATCGCCATGGTCACCCGGAAACTTTCCGGGGTGCTTATTCTGCTGCTTCTCTTCGCCTTGGGATACTTTGTCCAGCGAGTGTTGTGTTCACGGTCCAGGCAGCTCACCCCTCCTTATAGCGGGAATCCAGCTGCCGCAACATCACAGGAGCCGCTGGTGGAGAGCTGCACGCCGGAAGGATCCATGGCTCCTGCTGCTCATCTTCCCTCATACGAGGAGAGCAAACGCCTGCCGACATATGAGGAAACCGTGCGGGATGATAGGGGCAGGTTATATATGGGACAAGCGACATGACACGTCGGCTGGATTCATCTGGGTCCCACTCCCTACTATAAAGATTGGACATTCGAGTTTGTATTCAATGTCATTTACAGTGGAAACATGAATCTGTCTGGTAATTGCCTTGAAAAACTCTTGGTACCTCGGTGCAAGGTATTTATGCCCCACCACCCCCAACCCCCACCCGTAATGCACCGTTTTTAAGATATGTTCAAGTGTGCCTTTAATTTCTTGTTAGAACTTTTTGTTAAAGATTTTGCCTGTCGTCTAAAACAATGCTTCCCTGATAACTAAACCTTTCAATTATAGTGGGTTGCCAGTTCGTGAAAAATAAACCTTCGGCTACGTTAATTATCCAGCACGTTTGGTCTTCACTCCACCAGGATTTCTTTTTTAAGGTCAGAACTTGTCAACACTTAGGACTACACTTCTGGATGATTATTGTAAAGGAAAAATACATATATTAACCTTATATCAACAACTACAGGCATTGTATAAAGTTTTTTTTTTTTTTTTTTTTTTACTCCAGATGATATTAATTCATATGTTATCACCAGAGGGAAAAAAGGCCAGCCAAATTATTTTTTTAAACACCACAGCAGTATTTTTTCATCTCCTAAACCTCTCGCTCATATTGATACTCTATGAGAGCCTCTCAAAACCTGAGGATTTACTGTCAACGCCCTCAGCTATGTGAGATCATCAGGTTCGGTCTAATAATTGAAAGAAGATATGCATATGACCTGTAAAGCATACAATTCACTTTCACAACAACTTATTGTGCTTTTGTGTTACTTAGCAGTTGTTCTAATACACACTAATAGCATAGTGCTTGTTCCATGGTATCCTTAAGAGTGGTTGGCTACAATAGATTTAGTTCAAACTGGTACATGCGAGAAATGTATAGGCTTAGGCCCAATGAAAAGGTCTGATCCCTTAGAATATGATTTATTGTTTAAAGCAGTAATAAATTAGATCAAACGTATCACAAAATCATGTTTCAGTTAGTCAGTTGTTTGAAAACAACATTTCAGACAAATACAATCAATGTCTTCGACTAGCTTTAAGGTAGTGCACTGTGTCCTTGATGTTTTCCTTCATCGCCCCAGAGTCTGACGGTTTGGCCAGTTGCACTACGCGCCTGAAGGCCTCTTCAACTCCAAATCCCGTCGATGCGGAGCAAGGCTGAACGAACCAATCCCGGTCCGAGCAGATCCTCCTCAGGTGAAACGTGTCCTTAATCTCAGTGACGGTCAGTGCGCCGTTAACGTCCTGTTTGTTGGCGATAAGAATGAGCGGACGTCCCCTCAACTGCTCGCTCCTCAGGGTGATCGCCAGCTCCCTGCGCGCCTCCTCCAGGCGCGCCCTGTCCGAGCTGTCTACAACAAACACGACAGCTGCTGCGTCCGGGTGGAAACTCTTCCAGTGCTCGCGCATCTTGCCCTGACCACCGACGTCCCACACGGTTATTGCGATGTTCCTCCGGTTTCTTCTGGCCTCGAACATTTCAACGTTGAAGCCGATGGTGGGGACGGTGCTGACACACGCGTTGTGTTTCAATTTGTAGAGCAGAGTCGATTTCCCTGCATTGTCCAGGCCCAGGAGTGGAATATGGGCTTCTGGGAGTTTAGATCCTCGAATTCCCATGGTGATTTGGAGAGCTAAAGACAGTCAGTTGACTAGGGAGAGTCACATATTTCTCTAACACAACTCCTTTGACGCAGTGTTTGCTTAGTGTGTGGCCCGGAATTGAATAGATGAGCCATTAGCTACAAGCTGACTGTAACCCTCTCTCTGATAAGGCTCCTCTGGGGGCAAAGTTTGTACCAACCAGAGGACATTCTTTATAATACAAAGTCATAGACCGTATTACACCACATTTTCCCTCCCTGATGTATGCAATGATAAGGTCATGTTTTGTCATGCAGGGTTACCAAAGTTTATCCCAACTCATAATCATACTCTTTTTTTTTAATTATTTTATTATTATTATTATTATCATTATTATTATTATTATTATTTAACTTAAACCACGCGTCTATGTCACATATAATTTGGGTGCAATACAATAGTTGTTTAATAAAACAGGACCATTGTTCTATGTGCATTGCATGTTGTCATCAAGTAATACATTTGCATAAACAAAACATTTCTGAACGCATATTCAGGTAAACATCACTCTCGTTTCCCAAACTGCATCAGTGCTAGTTAAGTTAGTGACAATCATCGAGGTCAAAATAAGGCACAGCATCCAGACTTCACTTGCCAATGAAAATATTGCAGTTTATTATAGCTGAACCACCATTAACCTCCTCTACACAGCCACCAAATGAAAAAATAAACCGTTTTGAAAGTATTAATGTCAACATACATTTCAAACAGTCCCTCTGTGACTCCCTCAAGACAGACATTTGAACTCTCACGTACATTTGAACTCTTGTGCTCCATCACTTTCAGCAGACATTCTCATGGTTTCCAGGGCTCTTCATAAATAAATCAAAACTTTATGCTGCTATACAAACCAGCTTTTCAGAGACATTCTGGACAAATATAAAAAAAGTAATAAAACTTGAGTTGAGTCGACTTCGACTTCCACTCATTTATATTCCCTCTGTTATCAATAAAAAAAAATATTTTTACATTTATTTGTGTTGTGGTTGGCATAAAAGAAAAAAACTAACAATGATTATAAAGTCAAATAAAAAGGAAGGAAAATAAATAAAGGTTTGCCAGTCCTTAAGGGTGCATCTTGACACAGTTAGCCGAAGAGAACTGTTTACAATCCAGATTCATTTACATAGCAGATGGTATCAAAATTCGTTTGCACCCAAAATAGCTCCTCTTACTGACTATACCAAAGCTCCCATTTTGACTACTCCACATTTGTTATAAAAGGTTGGAGTATTTATTCTTACTAACACATACATATTAGCTCTAAAACATGTTGGAAAAAAATATTTTCCAAAGAAAACACATCATCCCGGTGCGCGTGACACACGACTTCATCTTCATGATCTTCCTCTCCCAAAGTCTGACTGAATGGATCATTGTCTATAGACTTAATCAATAAATTTCAATTATCAGTCCAGCCCGCCTCCATGCCGCTGAGACGATTTGAACCTGCACTATGCACTGAAAATGCGCAATGGATGCGCAACTCGGCACAAGAACCCAAGACATCCTGCTGCACGGACACGTCAAAGCTCAAGGAAAGCTTTCAGTCAAGGTGGCCTTGACTTCATTCCATCGATGAATTAATTTGCATTTCACTTGAAGATTTGATTTTTGTTTCATGATCTGGTCCATTTCTCTTCCGGCTTCACCCACACGCCACCAGTCGGATTGTCCATGACGTACACCAGCCCCCCGGAGTCACGGCGGCTTTGGGACCAGGAGTGGGGTGTTGACTTTTCCAGAGAACGACTGGAAGAGTGAAGTTGACTGTTCACCTTTTTCTGAATACGGACAACTGAAGCTGGAGTGGAACACGCGCCCGTCTTCAGACACAGGTCTTCTGCGCCGTCGCGGTGGAAAATCACACGCGCTTCTACGGAGGGTTTGGATCCTTGTTGTCCCATGTTGTAACTTTGAATGAAATTTGCTGTTTAGAGAAGCCAATGGTAAAAAAAAAAATCCAAAACAATCAAAATTGTATAACTATTGCTTCTGTCTGAGTTGGCTAAACGACAAGTTTCTTCTACTGTGCCTGGCTGTGCGCACTTGTCTTACTTATAAGTGCCAAATCCAAGACAAATGGGGCAAAGACTTCCCGCAACTGTGTAGTCTGACGCACTTGTCTTTATGGTTATTAGACGCCTGTCTGTTGCAACGCGGGTCTGGATGAGTCCACGTTCGAGCTATTCTGGTCTCTCCACCTGGTGCAGACAGTCACACTATTTGGCATCATCGAGCGCTTCCGAGCTGTCCGCGCTCCCCCTCCTGACGGCTGCAGCGGGGTTCAGTTTCAGCGTAGGCACGGGTAACTATTTGTGGTTCAACAGAGGCATCCCGCAAACATTCAGTAGACGTCACCTGTTTTCCCCTAACTTCACTCTCATCTCACTCACTAACCCATTTTATGTCGCCATTGATTGAGTGATTAACTCAATCAGATTCGAGATTATAAAAGCAGAAGAAAGGACAATTACAAATAGCTGTGCATCTTCTTTAGTTGTACCGTTGAGCAAGTTACTGCAAACTAAACTGTGAGAACTTGTAGGGATTTAACTGATTTAGTGCACAGATAATAAAGGCCATGTTAGGAACGTCAGGCCTGTAAGATAATAAAAACAGACACGTTTAAGATGAGTTTGTTTAATACTTGTAGTTTACATACAGTTTATTTACATTGTTTTTTTGTTTTTTTTTACACTGAGCATCAGCTCATCTTGTCTGAGTTATGAACTCATATTCAGATTAAAGCGATGTATCGAATGTGTTGTAAACTTCCGCTCATGTAGAGAAGGAAAAAAACAAAACAATATACCGTTTGTCCTGGCAACACACAAGACTCTTCAAAAATAAAGAAAACCAGTAAGGCATTAGGTAGGCCGAACATGTTAAATAAAAAAAAGGCTTCTGTTAACTGATTCAAAGATCATGAAACACAGTGGTGAAAAGTAGTTGAACATAAAACAGTAGTAAATCAAGTCAGGTTTACTGAGTTCTCTCTGACAGGTTGTTGTTGTCTGACACCAGCTGTATTGCTTTACAACGTATCGCATATTGAGTTACTAGCATACAGACTGCTGCTGTACAGTTCAAGTTGGGTCCTCTTTTATTTTCCCTTGGAGGTGTGGATGTCTGCTTCAGCTCTGTGCTTCCATTGTCAAAAGTCACCAGAGTCCTATGAAAAGATAGCTTACAAAATGAACATGGATAAGCCCAAGCACATGCCCTGATAGTTGTCGTTTGAGTACTTTGATTCGAGCAGTCTACATAAGCTCAATAAACTTGCAGAACAAAGAAATGAACATCATGTTCAGCATACATGAAAACCTCCTCCTGTATTACAGAGGATGTAGAGTTTACATTGAATGATATGTAATAATTTACAATTCCAAAAAAATAAACTCCTAAAAAGTGCATTTCTTCATACCTGTTAGTGCGTTTGTGTGTAGGTGTTATATGTTAAAGTAGAACTTCGTCCAAAATCTCACCTTTGAGCATCACTTCCCATCTGCACACACAAGGAACCTTTTGCAGCTAAAAGGCAAGAACATTACTCGATGTAGTTTGGTGCCATTTCTAAAAATAGCAACAAAGGACTTCAATAGTAACCTATCTCTACAGTAGAAAAGTAAATTGAAAATTTCAACAGAAACTCATCAGATCTCTTTTGGGTTCCCTGCTGGCTTGCCAAAAGAACAAACTTTATGCTTACTCAAGGATTTACATTTTTAGCTTATTGAAGTTACACCCAAACTTTAAAAAACATTCACCTAATTATACTGTACTAATTGTACAAAAATAAAACAGAGTATGTACATTTAACTGGTTGCATTCAGCCTTACTTTTGCAAAAAAACGTATTTTGAACATACTCAGGACATAGACGATTTGAATTAACAAGTTTCAAGTAGGTTAAAGGCTTTTAAAAGGACATTTTTGTGATGTTTCTCTTACAGTGCTTGCTCTTAGGATGCATTGTCACCACCACTTGTAATATTGCTCAAAAGTCAGATTTTAGTTGTAGCATCACTTTAACATAGATTATTAAGGTATGGATCCACTGGAGTCTGTTCACAATTATCAAAATGATTCAGCTCAATACTATATCAGACACATCCATTACTTGAGAGAATTCCCAAAATGTAGCAGGCAGGTTGTTGTTTTTCTTGCACATACAATTTAAGTAGCTTCCTGCAGATGCACAGTCATTGTTGAGTAGGCACTAGTTTAAGCCTCCTCTGCGGAAGCCTCCAGTGGAGCTGTACCATTCATGTGCATGTATAGTAAACAGTAGTAAATCAATCACAGTCTAATGTGTGCTGGTTCAGAGGAAACCCACTGTTTGACGTCTGTCCTCATTTCATTCATCTCCTCTGTTGTCTTAGTATTTTGATGTATTTGACATTATGAAGATTTTCATGAGACATGCATTGAGTTAAAATGCCCTTGTTTCAATTAGATATATATCTGATATCAGATATACACACACTATACATTAATATTCACTCTAAATCTGACCCTGGTCTACTACCCTGCCTTGCTACTCCCCCCAGCTCCACTTTTAAATTTCACCACCATGACAGTGATGTTGTCAGGGCAACCACGGTAAAACGACTGCAGGACGATGCTCTTGGCGCCAAAGTGAGGCTCGTCGAGACGCTCACGGACGAAGCGGACCGCCTCCTCGTTGCTGAAAGCGTCCCACAGGCCGTCTGAAGCCAGGATCATGAACTCTGGCTGAAGTTTATCAAGGTCAAAGGTCATTATGTCAGGGTCTGGGATGACAACGTTGAGGTTCTTCAGTGGGTAGTCTCCAAGAGAGCGCGACATTGCTAGGATTCCCTGGACTCTCCAGGATCCATTAAAACTGATGAAACCTCCTAGAAAATAAAGAATACAAGTTAAATTTGGTTAATCTATATGAGAGAAAAATATTTTTTGAACTATTTGTATTCATACTTCTTTAAATCCCAAATAAGCACTAAAAGCTCTGTATTACAAAGTGCTATAAAAATCTAGGATTATTATTAAAACACTGAATGAATTTGGGATATCTGTCCATGTGTTCTTTTTTTACACAATGCTATTCCTTCATAGACCACCAGATGGCAACCAAGGGCCCTGAAGTTAACCAGATAAGACTCAATTAGTACATGTTAGTATATGTATCATATAAAAGGGTTGTTTCTTTGATCATGTACCTGCCCTCTTGATCCTCTTCCTCTCTTTGAGCTGATAAGGCTTGTGGTCATGTGATAGTGCAACAGCGTTCCCATCTTTGTCACACAGCACGCCCCGAGAGTCTCCAACATTAGCCACGGTGAGTTCCCTGTCCGACAGCAGCGCTACAAGACATGTTGTTCCTAAATTTAAGAGAAAGGCAAAAATAAGAGAAAACAGCTGAGGAGACTGCACCTTTAAATGCCTCTCAATCCTGTTACAAATGTGGTTGCATGATTATCTATAACACAAAAAACAGCGTTACTTATGACAGCTAATGTAAGAGAAAGAAAGTGAATGTTCCGTAAATATGAACTCTAATTGGTTAATTACGTTTTGTTTTGGGGTTCTTTTACACCTTTTTGCTTTTATCAGATAGGACAGATGAAGAGAGACAGGAAATGATGGGAGGAGAGAGTGGGGGATGACATGAAGGAATGGGTCGAGGTCGGACATCGAAGCCACAGCCATGGAAGAAAGACATAACTAGGCTATCCAGCATCCAGTTTATACAAGGGTAAGATGATACAGAAGTTGTTATGTTACAGAAGATACATCTCCCTCCATGATGAAAAATGTGATCTGGCATGACAATCTCTGCCTCTACAGGCCTGGTTTTGATGCATCACTTTATAAAAAAAATACTGTGATTCATAAGGATCAACGTTTATCCCCAGGGCTGAAAGTGAAGTACAGTAACCTGGGATAACTTTTAACATTTAAAACGTGACACACAGCCTTAGTTGAAAATCGTGGTGACCTGGAAAAAAGTAAAACATGCGCAAGCACAAAACACAAGTCCTATAGAGAGACCACAATTAGTCTACTTTTAGTAAATAGTAAATTGACTGCACTTACACAAAGCCTTTCAAGTCTCCTGATTACTGAATGCACTTTTAAACTACATGTCACATTCAGCCTTTCTTACATTCATACAATTATCTAGTGCCATGCAAGGCCACTAATGAACTCATTATTCCCACTAATTCATACAGTGTAAGGAGCAATGTGAGGTACAGTTTCTTCCCTAAGGATACTACTAATCCCATATAAGGACAAGGAGAGCTAGGGATTGAAACACCGACCTTCTAATTAAGGCAACCCACTCTACGTCTGAGCCACAACCATCCCACTACTATTGGGATATTACCAAATGAATTACACACAATAGAGCCATATACTGTATGTTCCCAACAACACACACACACACACACACAAACATATATATATATATATATTCACTCCCCCCCCCGACCTGCTTCATCATGGTTGGCAGAGAGCTTGTCCAGCATCTCACGATCCACAGTCAGGATGCGTTGCTCGAGGATGTTGGCATAAGACAGAGTGCTCTCTCTCTTTTCTCTCTCAAAGCCCTGCAGCTGCTGCTTCAGTGAGTCAGGCAGGTGGGCTTTCACATAGTCAGCTGCAGCCTGAGACAGGGAGGGAGACAGAGAGGAAGATATGTAAAGGGATCATTGTGGTGTCAATTGGAGGTGCCTGCATGGTTACTCACAACACAATGCATATCCTAAATGAATTGTAGAATGGGAGACCTGATACATAGCCAACATTAAAATCACGATACAGCAATTCTGTGACCATTGATAAATTGCAAGACAATCATATAATGACCCATCGTGATATCTGACTAAGTGTAGAATACAAAAATTGCAGCATTAACACATTCATTCACTGCTAATTGTTCTCCAATTCAACTATTATCACTCCTCATTTTATTCTTTTCACTGCTCCAACATTATTCCCCTGTCTTTTTCTTCTTTTCTTTCTGCTGTCACCATATTCACTGGCCAATTCACTTCTGTCCATGTCATAAGGAGTCATGAAGTAGTGACACGGCGAGTCTAACTGACATGGAAATCTGAGCACCTGTTTTTTTATTCATTCAAATATCAATATTTGACACCAGGGATTTTAATAGTATCACACAAGTTAGGGCAACCTTTATATAGTTGAAACCATATTTTGTCTCAATCCTATTGGTCCTAGCTTTAAAAAAAGGTGTGCACATCTGTATAGTGTTTGTCAAAGTGTCTTGTTTACGGCTGCCTCAGTGATGGGTCTTAGGCGCCTTTATTTTCTAGCCAACTAAATAGGAAAACACTGGTGGTATTCATAAAGCTGAAATCAAAGTCAATACATACACATTTCAGCACATTTCCCAGAATAATCATCTGCTATTTGGATCCTCTGGACAGGATAAATCCCATTATGAGGTTGTTTATATTTGATGTAATATATGGTCCATACAGCTCTGACTTTTATAGAGCACGTCCTCTGTGCTGAATTATTGAACAAACTCCTCCTCTCCCTCCTGCTCCGCCCGCCCTAACTTATCTGCTGCTTCACTCACTTTCTCTGCCAGGATTTTCTTATTATGCTTGAAAGCTGTCAAATCAAATCCAAAAGCTGAAAACTGTGAACCATCTACATTTCTACAAGAGAGACGGTCTCAGAGAGAGAGTCCGTTAGAAATGAGCCATTCATACTGCATGCCTCCATGTTTTGCTTCATGATGAACTGATGCGCTATAGCAGCTCTGCAGCAAGAGTCCTCGGTTGGGTTCATGTGAATTTTATTCTGATTTTTTGACTCTGCCGTACTAGAATTTGTCATAGCAAAGATAATGCATTTTTGTTTTGGTTAAAACTGTCAAAATAGAGCTACAAAGCAGAGCAATTCATTCATGTGCAACTAAAGAACAAAATGTGTTTTCATGAAATGAATCAGTTGAAATGAATGAGAAATTAAAACCACTTTGATTTTGTTTTATGTTAAGAGATTATAATATTTACAATGACCACTGCAGTGAAGCCATCTCTCTCTCCCCCCTCTCTCTCGCTCCCTCTCTCTTCCTGTTTGCCGTTGAAGTGTACCCGTTCATTTATTTAATTGGTGAGAAAAGCACTCAGAGAGCCTTGATCAGGGGAAAAGGCTTCAAGTATAAATTTCCATTAGTGGTAAAAGCTGAAAATGCCAAAGCCTGAGTCTATAAATGACTCAAATATTTCAGTGTCAGAGGATTTTATGAGTGAATGTTGCCATTTGAGTCAGTGTGTGACTATAAATTTAATTTTATACCGCAAAGAAGTGTGAAAGCCTGTCAAAGTTCCTGCTTCCACAGCAAATGTTCTCAGTAAATCATGTTAAAAGAAGAGCAGTGGTTTGCCACTTTTATCATTCTGGGCCAAAGCTCGCTTTCTCCATTTCTCCATGAGAAATAAATATCAATAAAAGAGAAGTGTATGAGAAGTTTCGGAGCATTAAAGACCAGAACACCCTGCACTGCCAGAGAAAACAACTTTGTTGTGCCCATATTTGGTTTGGCAACATCATAAATAGATTTCCATGCTAATGTTCCTCACCATCCTTAGTATTGAGGGTCTTAGATGATAGACGTAGCCATACCAGATTACTTCAAATATTAAGACTCCTTTCCTATATATCAACTCTCTGATTTTGCACTTATTTAAAGCTTATAGACAGTAGGTACTGTGTGTTTTTTTTTTTTTTTTTATCTCAGGCTAAGGTTGATAACAGAGTGACCCTGTCTTTATTGGTCCAACCCCGTTACAACTAAAACACCAAAGGATGCAAATAGAGTACAAGTAAAAGATAATATAAAAAGATTGAATGAACGAGCATACACATAAGCACACATGTGCATCACGGTATAGACCTGAAAGGGAGCAAAGGGAGCAAAGACTGCAGGAGAGAAAGTGAAGAAGAAAGAGTGAGACATCAGGACAGACAGGAAGGATAAATATTTGTTTATAGGACAGGAATAGAAAGCGAGATTCAGAGCGGTAAACAACCCCCAACTAACTCTGTTTGTCCTCTCTAAAAAAAACAACCCGATCACAACTTGTGCATGCTGATCTTTTTAAAAATGAAATGCAAGTTCCCTTGTTTCTTGCTCTTTTCTCTAATCAAATGAAACAATATGTGCATGTATTTCATGCCAGACACACAGGCTTGATGTTAAAGCAGCAGGAGATCATTTGGTTTGAGAGACAGAGCTCCCGACTGTGACAGCAGCACTGTACACAAACTGATTTCAGTTAATTTAGTAATCCATTGGTTGTCAAATATTAAATTGATTTAACCATGTTCAAATGTTTTTGTGAAAACTGTATCCTTTCTGTTCAGCCAAAATTCAGTAAACTAAGCTTGCGTTGTAGACTAAACGAGATAAACTGTACTTTAAGAGGATATCATCTGATCCTAAACCAATTTATCACAGTCAGCACTTTACAAATAAAACACTGAGTAAGTAAATCCTAATCTTGAAGTATCTTGAAATGCGCTTTTCCAAAAGACACTTTAAATGTGTGTTTGGATTGAAACACATAAATTAATGTTTGTTAAGTTAAATACAACTACTGAAATTGAAAAACATCTCGAGTTGGATCATCGTCATGAACTACCTTTACTTAAGCCTGATAGATCTTCTCTGGTAATGAAAACCTACAAAACCTAGAGAAAATGGAAGAAATAATTTAATAAAATCCCAAACTTTTAAACACATCAACTGTGTCTCTAATGTGATATTGTGGTGGACCAATTCACTCTTTCTCCCTGTTGTCTGTATTCTTAAGGCTCTTCATTGAGACTAAATTGTTTTCCTTGTAATTTAATACATATTTCAAATTATAGATATAATACCAGCTAAAGCTGTGTGAAACAAAAACTAAAATACACTGGAACCTCTGGAGTGATAGGAACGGTGTTAATGGTGTGACAGGTGGCATCTGGCACACATTGACTAAAAGCAGCCATGAGGAATTACTGCATGACCCTTCAAGACTTAGGGGGTAGAGTAAAGACAAAACCTGCACAAACATCACTTACCCTGCACACACAATGCATTGAGATGAGGCCCATGTGAACTCCCTGAAGGGTGGTGGAGGTGCTCACACAAAAGAAAACACTGATGGAGGAGGGTTTAAACAAGACTCCTGTGGTGCTTGTGGTGTTTCTAGTTGCACTGGCCTATTTTTTTTTTTAAACAATATTCTAAATCAATATTTCTGGTTTAAAAAACGTATTTGATGCATTTAAACAATTCTAAGTTGTGTCGTCCCCGTTAATGGGTGATTGGATCTCTGCACCTCTGACTCCATGATATATCTTCACGTGCAGCAGCACACCCTTTACCACCTTTCCTTAGTCTGGAAGATTTCACCACCACCCCCCCACCCCTGTGTAACCTCCCCCTCCCTCCAGTCCCAACTTACCTCCCCACCGTGACCGTCAAATATCCCGAATATGGACGGGTGGCTCTTGTTGGAGATGTCTGTGAGCACCTCGAAGCGGTCCTCCATGTGATCCCTCCTGCCCTGGATGGAGTACACGGCTACGTTGTTGTTCCTGAACTGCCAGGTTTTGGAGAACTCTGCGTCCAGGATACTGAGGCCTCCGAGCCGATCGTTCTGCATCATCTCCGCCACCTTCCCCTTCACCATCTTCACGGCGTCCCGGCTGGACTTGACGATGGTTTTCACCTCGTCGGTGTGGAAGAAATAGCTCCACAGCGCCAGACTTATACACAGTAGGAACAATGTCTCAGGCCTGAGGAGAAAATAACGCATGATCCGACCCAGTAGAGACAAGAGCGTCATTGTGTCTCCTATCATCACACGAGACCAAACTGCAGCCCGACTCCCCCCCTTTTTTTTTGTTGTACAATTCACTTCATCCACTCAGCGAAATTACAAAGAAATCGATTCGCTGCCACTATGTTTCGCAAAGACTGAATATCAACATTTAAACCCCACTACGACCGCATTTATGCTCAGTGAATAAATCGCTTCTAGACACCGGGGCCGAGAGACGCAGTACAAAAGCGGACAGGACACCCTCATCGACTCGGTCCGATGTCTCGGTCCTATCCTCGGCTCTCTAAACAGCTGCAGGAGGATTCTCCGAGTCCGCCCGAGCTCCCAAAGCCCATTGTTGTATATCGAGTTTTTTGGGCTAGACCCACCCCGGAGAGAGACATGGAAGTCACAGGAGGAGGGCGAGAGTCGACGATATGACTTGGCGGCGTCCTCCTTTTTCCTCTGCTTCTGACCCCGTTTCTTCTCTTTGATATTCTGTGTCTTCCGTCTCCCGTGTAAACGCTACATTTTTCACACACACGCCTCCATTGTTGCAGCTTCGTGAAACCACCAAGCGAGAGTGAGCATAAGACCGGAAGCGTACTGAGGTGTTCTTAATAAAAGCATACAATTAACATGAGCAGTAGGCCTAGACCGCTGTTTTTCCAACTCTGGCTTTTATTTTGAAAGTCTTTCACGGGAGTGAATTGCGATAGTGTCCATCTTAACATTAGCTTATTGACAAGAGTGCGCATCCGCAAACACATATGACGGACATGCCAAACATTTATTAACCAATGACGGGGGCTGCGGAATCAGATCATGATGTCATCTACTGTACAATGAAATATCTTCATAAGCGTATAAAACTTGTAACCAATCAGTGTCGATATTTCCTTCTGCTCTGAACTGTTTCCTTAATGAATCTGTCACGGATCATTTTATATGATCATAATTTATTTTTTCTGCTATTTGTATTTAAACATATCTCATCATATAAATGTTATGTCTAAGTGTTTGAATATTGTTAACAAACAACCAATAAAGTAAAAACAGTCAAGTGAAAATGTCACTTCACATTATCTCACATTCATCAACAGAAATTTTAAGGCTGTAGTGACTCTTTACAAGGAACAGAATAATCCATTCACACAAACATCAAAAACTGTAATACTATGCAACAACATTTAAAAGTAAATATACATTTCATTACACAATAATAATTTTGGTTAACAAACCAGAATGTGAATTTCCTGAAGAAACTGCAGTGTGATGGCTCGCAGCTATGAGCTTCTGTTCTTCTGTTGCCAACGCTGCAGTAGTTGCTGCTGTTCCTGTACAGTATGTGTGTGCACTTGAAACTGTGCACTTGTAAGTGCGCAACTCAAAGTGTACAGCTGAAGGTGTATACCACTATAATATGCACCCTTGAGAAGATGCACTTGTAAGTGTGTACTTATATGTCCTATTAGTGTTCACTTAAGTGTTCACTTGTTAATGTGCACTTGAAATCTACACTAATGGACTTGTAATTGTTTAATTTTAAGCATGCACTTGTAAATGTGAATGAGAGTGTGCAATTATCAGCATGCACTTAAAGTGCATACCAAAGCACTTCAAAGTGTCCATTTAAACGTGTGCAAGAAAGCACATACAAGGTGTTGACTTGACAGTATGCATTTCAAAGTGTGCATTTGAAAATCACACTTTTTTATTTAAAAGTGTGGTGCACTTGAAAGTACGCTTATAAGCACTCATAAGTTTACATGTGATAGTTTGCACTTGCAAGGTTGAACTGCAGTTGTAAGTGTGAATTTGATAAAACACACAGTGTGCATTTATGTCCTTGAAAGTGAGCATACTAAGTGTGAACCGCACCTGTAATGCACCTTTGATCCATTAATGTATTGAAAAGTTTGCTCTAGTAACTGTACACTTTAATGTACAGTGGTGAGCCGCAGTTATTTCATTGACCCAACACTGCCCCCTAGTTACTCTCTGGTGTCATACACCTCCAACCATCATTTACAATCAGCTGATGCGGTGTGTTCATCAGTCAGACAGTCCATTTAAGATTAAAAGATTGGTTTCCAGGTGAAACCTGAAAACAACATACACAAATAGAGCATAACAACAAGGCATATTTATTAAAAACAAAACTTCCATCACACATAAAAGTCATTGAGTGAAAAAGTTGGATACTATCTATGTTAGGTTACACATATTCACCACTATATACGTATAAGCAGAGTATTGGGATTTTCATTGGTAATTTTCAAAGCATTAAGTAATGCCTTTCTATGCATGACCATATTCTACTAGTGAATTAAAAAAAATCTGGTTTTGAAAAACTTAGACAAAGAAATATGAGTTTGAAAAACGTAGAGTTTTAAGACACTTCTACAACTTGTCTCTCTGCGGGTTGTTAGAGAAGAGAAGATAGTATTTTAAAATGAAGAATAACTATTCTTGTGGTGCTTAACCACCTTGTTGAACCTGTACTGTGCACAGCTTATTAAGACTGTGATTTATGTAGGCCTGCAACAATGTCTTTACTTTATATCAGTAAGTAGTAATTAGGAGGTTATCAAGGGAAATCACTAAATGGCCTTAGAAAGAAGATATCAATAAAATGTGCTTTGTAATATAAGAGCCAATGTGCCTCTTCTACTCATACTAATAATAAACTAGTTAATGGTAAATATTTTGTTTCTTGATCTTTTTCAAAAGTATAACAAGAGAGTCACAAAAATGATCTCAGATTTAAGTAAGTTGAACTTTTATGGATAAGAAGAAACCCCTTTTGATGAATTGGGGTGTATGGCTTCAGTTTATTTTGCAGCTCTTTCCAGTAGAAGGGTGTATTGGATTGGAACTTTTCCTAACCAAGTCAAAAGCTGGTTGAGATCTAATGTCACCGTTGTTGACTTTGAACTCAACTAAGGACTATAAATTACTCATCACACAAAGGTATGTTGATGTTTCTTTAGAGGTCTGTGAGCATTTGACTTTTTAATGTCACTTACGGTGGGTGAGTGCCATAGCTTTGGGAAATTAGTGAAAATGCATCCAGTGGTTTGTGGGTATTCACAGTACAATGAACAGAATAAAACATGTTTATTGTCAATATAAATTTATGGACATATGCCTAGCATATATATGGACACTGAGTTGGTCATTTATTATTTTGCCACCCACACTATCATATTGCTCCTCATCAGATTTAGAAGCCAACAAGAAATCAAGAATTCAGAGTAAATGTCAGCACCTGAAACTATTGAGACGTATAAAGTTTAGTTCAGAGGGGCCAGGTACTTTGGTTTCTTGGAGGTTTCACTGGGCCCTTTAAGCTTGGCTAGATCAAGGAAGTCAATGTTTAGATCAAAGCTTCTGTTTTTGGATATTAATCCCTCTCCCACCGGGTTTACAGTGCTACATTGTCTACTTTGAGCCTCTGCCAGGTGGTGTGGTCACTACAAGGGGTTTGTTCTCTGTAGCTCTTATATGAGATGTTATTCATCACTAACAATGTGTGAGCTTGTGTTTATACACTGGTCACGTATGTACACGTGTATCTTTGTGTGTAATTTTATAGTCCTGCTGTTTGTGTACAAAGCAACACCACTTTAGTGGGTGTGTTGTAACCTGGAATCATATCCCCCAATCACAAAGAATAAAGTCTTGCATTGTATACCGGCTGCTTTATTTCATATCCCTCAGGAGTCATGTAATCTGTGCCTGCCAGCCCACCTACCTCCTAATAATCCCCTGTGCTTTCTCTCCCTTGTTCTAGTGATGACTTAAAGGTGCAGAAGTTGGGCTAACAGGGCAATATAAGGACAGGGGAAGCCTCCATCCATCACTAGCTGGAGGAGATGGAATGAAGAGTCAACAGCATCTTCATCAGCAGGTTAGATTGACATAATGCTGTTGTATCTGTCTGTCTGTCTGTCTGTCTACCTGCCTGCCTGTCTGTCTGTCTGTCTGTCTGTCTGTCTGTCTGTCTGTCTGTCTGTCTGTCTTTCTCTATCAATCTTTTTTTTCTTCCCAACATCTCTGTCCGTCTTTCATCTTTCTTAACACATCCAGTTGAGGCAGACACCAATGAGTCAGGTTCTGTTGATTTCTGCCCGTTGCGAATTAGGGTGTTTTGACAGTTTTGCAAAGTACTTGCTCATTGGTTTTTTTAATGTTAGGTCACTGTAATGGATATTCCAAAGAGCACAGTTCTTACCTGCTTCTTATTTAGGATGTCTGGAGATTAACTTTTGTAGGTATTTAAGGCTAAATAAGGAAAATTGGTTTACTGATTCATGATATTTGTTTTCTCTATTTCAGATGTCTAGCAACAATACAAATAACAAATGTTATTTCTAAACACTTTACATAAGAGAAGGTCAAATACCTTACTCAGCAGGTTATATTATTTATAAAGTGTCAATTTAAAGGGGCTATATGTAACTTTCAAAAATACTGCTGATCATATTAACAAGGCAACTGTAATCTCTTCTTTCTCTCATACAGAATTTGTTGTCAAGCCCTCAGCATGCCATCCTCTCGTCTAGTCTTATTGTCTCTCCTTGTGGTTCTGATGGCCATGCTGACCTCCAGCGCCAGAACCACACGCTGGCCCAGACCTCAAAGCACCAAGAAGCCCCCTCGAGCTGGAAGCGGAGGTGGAGGATTTAGGCGGACAACCACCACTACCATGTCCCCTTCCAGTATGCACACAGATGAGACAACTGAGGTCATGATGGATGCCTACTCCCTGTCCCCTACAGATAGCACCACCTACTCCAGTGACACTTACCCCACTGATTTCCCCACTGATGCCATAGCACCCCCAGGTAACAGCCCTGGAAACTTCACCCTCGACTACAACGAATGCTTCTTCAACTCCTGTGAGTGCTGTCCTCCTGAGCGAGGCCCTGCAGGGCCTATGGGAGAGAGAGGGTTACCAGGACCACCAGGAGAGAGGGGCCCTCTTGGTAAGAAGGATTATCATTTCAGCTTTTGTATTGTGAAATATATCCTGCTTCATACTTCTTCTTTTTTTTTCAAGGGTTACCAGGAGGTAAGGGGGAAACAGGGCACCGAGGACCTCCAGGACCAGCAGGACTACCTGGAGCCAATGGACTCATTGGCGACATAGGTACAGCCGGGCTTGACAGCAGGACAGTTTCTGATTGTGGGCCAATTTGTCTCCCTCTCTGCCTCCTTACTTTTTTGCAAACACTGTTTTTGTACAAGTTAGTTTTGGATGTCACTCTCTACACTTTATTTATCAAAACTACCACAGGTGATAAAGGAGCTCAAGGACCAATGGGTGTCCCTGGTACCCCTGGGATCCCAGGAAAACCAGGAGAGAGGGGTGTGTAGTATTTTATGAGAACTTTGGAAGAAACCTTTCTGTTAAGAGTCTGCATTTGTCATACAAGTAAAAAAATAAACTGAACTAAACTAATATATGAAGCTTATCTCAAAGATGTTGAATGATACAGACAGAGATAAGATAGAGTAAGCTATAAATACACCTTTTAAATGTTTGTAAAATGTATATTTATATGTATATATAAATGTCTGCCTATGTGAAAATGTTTTTTCATAAACCCAGGTGATCCGGGCCCCAGAGGAGAGAAAGGTGAACGTGGCTTCAGTGGTCTGAAAGGGGACCCGGGAGAAAAAGGAGAGCCTGGCCTGAATGGGACCAAGGGCAGCACCGGGCGAGAGGGGCCTATGGGTCCCCCTGGGGTAGCTGGAACAAAGGGTCAGAAAGGGGAACAGGGATTCTCAGGCGAGCGTTTACCAGGCGAGAAAGGGGATGTAGGTGAGCGTGGGCCCCCTGGTCCAAGGGGTGGGTTGGGGCCCGCAGGCGTTAATGGAACTAACGGTGCAAAAGGTGCAAGAGGGGAACCCGGACCCCCTGGAGGGAAGGGGGAAACTGGTGCAAGAGGACCTCCAGGACCTCCAGGAGGGAGGGGGATGGTGGGGCAGAGGGGGGAGAGGGGGCCTAAAGGAGGGCGTGGGCCTCGGGGCCCTAAAGGTTCGCCAGGGGAGAGTGTGGAGCAGGTTCGCTCTGCGTTCAGTGTCGGCTTGTTCCCCAGCAGGTCCTTCCCTCCACCCAGCCTGCCTGTGAAGTTTGACAAGGTTTTTTATAATGGGGAGGGGCACTGGGACCCCGTTCTTAGTAAGTTCAATGTCACCTACCCAGGGGTCTACTTATTCAGCTACCACATCACCGTACGAAACCGGCCTGTACGTGCTGCCCTAGTGGTGAATGGGATACGGAAGTTGCGGACTCGGGACTCCCTGTACGGCCAGGACATCGATCAGGCATCGAACCTGGCACTGCTGCAGCTAAACGAAGGCGACCAGATATGGCTCGAGACGCTCAGAGACTGGAATGGGGTGTACTCCAGCAACGAGGACGACAGCACCTTTTCTGGCTTCCTGCTTTATCCAGACTTAAAGAACAAACCTCCTGCTGTGGAAAACATGTAACTGTAGCTCTTATTGTAATTTCCTTAAGCCTGTTGCACTGCTCTGCCAGATTAATGTGATACAGCTCATTTCTGCTGGCTAGTGTCATGCTTGTCACACCAAACATTCTGCTTTCCTTGCTGTATTTGTAGATGGATGAGGCCATTAAAATTGACTTTGCATGAAATTCATCACCCTTGAGTTTTATTTATGCAGAAGCAGAACCAAAATTATTTATACGCTATTAGTTATTACAATCGGAATACAATAGACAAACTGTGTCTGTGAGGCAACAATTGAGGTAAAATAATCCATGATTGCATTAGGTTCCCACTAGAGGGTGTAAGGTGCCCAAGTTTTGTTATGAGAAGAGTATTGTTTGAATCAGTACAGAGACATCAGTAAAAAGATTTTTTTTTTTTTTTTTTTTTAAAGGTAATGAAAGTAAATGCAGTAAGGTGAGGTTTACATTACCAGATCCCATATTTCAATAGTAAACACTTGAAAAACACAAACAAATTACAAAATGAACGTGTTCTGAACCACATACTGAACGCAAAACAATCAAGACAAATAACTAATCCTTCAATGCAGATATTTTTCTCACAACATGAAAAGAAAAATATTGAAGACTGTAATTATTGTCACTGCTATTTTATTTAAATACTGCATTTGGTTCAATATGTGACCATGATGATTTACTAGGCAATAGGCATGCTGGGTAATACAACTCTGAAGCTATACAAAAAATTAGGTGTTAAAATACTTGTTTTACTCTCTCATCATCACCACCTACTTAAGCTAGTCTCCAAGGGGGTGCAGACCCAAAGGAACACAATAACAGATTTTTTTTCAAATAAAACACCACCACCCAAAAGTTTATACAAGTAAATATGATTCCTCATTGATATTACACGAACAACAGATTAGCTATCTGAGAGCAGAGCAGAGGGGATAACCCTCTGTAGCATAGAGAGATGAATGCACTATAAATTATACTCTACTGCACACACTCAGTACAATAAAAAATAGCACTGACTTTTACAAATACTATATCTCGTTAGACTCTAAACTGCCTTTTTCCAGAACAGAAATGAAAATAATTTATTTTCCAGACCAACAATAAATCTTAATGGTAAATGTCCTATCTTATTTCTGAGCGAGGTTACGTGGCGTTTTTATGTTGTGGTGCATTTTAAGAGTAGGGAGACTGCATTGCAGAGGTTGAACTGTGCAGCATCATACTAATTACAGTATGGGGTTCAGGATATAGGATACAACAACAACAACAACTGCAACTACAAATCTCATTTGCTTTATTTCAAACATATCAGGCAACTCACAATTCATCTTTGTACATGGAAAAAAAACTCCTGTTTCTGCAGCATGTTTTTTGTCACTTAGTCTTAAACCTACCCTGCTGCAGCTGTTTCACACATTTATAATAATATAGAAAATTAGTCTCCTTGTTGATGGTCTCATTTGCTTTAATAAGCCACATAGAGACATCAGTGTTAACTTCAGTCTGTTACATAAACAGCTAGGAACTCCTCCCAAGAGCTCTCATTTTGTTTTGGACACGTGTGTCTATACGATAAACTATTCCAGATTCCCTCCATTCTGTGTTATACATATCATGCTGTTATAGCATGTTAGGTTTCTTTCAGGAATATCTGAATAATTGAAATCATATATTCATTTTGGCGTGCCTTTACGCTGAAGGACTGTCACATTGGTCTCTAGGTACATCTCACACATCGGTCCTTATGTTACAAAATAACATAATGGGCCCTATGTCTGTGATAGATGTTTATAAATATATGTGTCTCTTTCATTGTCATATAGCTGCATGAGACTTTCTCCCTCAGTTTTTTCAGCACAAAACACAGTAAGTCTCATGATTGTCGCGTTAGGCACAAAATTGACAAACAAAGCCTATACTGTATAATTACATGATACCGTACCATAAAAATTACCTGGGATTGATATTGTTTAATTTCAAAGATAGCTTGTATTTCATATATCCATGTGTTTAAGGAAGGAATAATAGAAAAGCAGGTCATACTCTAATTTCTTTAAAATCTAATGTCAGAGCTCATACTCTAAAGGATTGAAGTCATAAGAATACAAATTAAAAATGCTTCTCATTGAAATGTAAAACATTCAAAAACATTTGTCAAAATAAAAGTATAGTTTTTAATTGATAGGCTAGATTCTGTCCGTAAATAATCATTTTTGTGGTTAAGTTCATCATTGGGTTTGTATATTAACAGGACTCCAGGTTTGTTTTTTTCATTCTTTTTCAAGGCAAAAGTTTAAATCCAATCAAGAGACTTACAGATAGATACAATTGCACTCTGGGAAACATTTATGGCGATTTAAATGAAGGACAGATGTAATATTTGTTATTAACAACTCTAAAAAGGAATGTAACGCTCTCAAACTTGCTAAGGAGGAAAGCCCAGTGTGGCATCCCCATCTACTATAGAAAAACATCAATTTACCACACATGTCCACCTTGTTTAAGCTGCTGTCCATGATGATGATGTTGGTGTGTGTGTGTGCGGGTGGTGTGTATATTTGTAAAAAAATGTATTTGTTTGTTTGTTTATAGGCCTATCTGTGGATGTGTGTGTGTGTGTATGCATTTATGTATTTTCCCCTGCTCGGTGTGAAAATATAAATAACTACCTTGGCGGTGTGTGCAGTGTAATCTGCTCCCAGCAGGCTGGATTCCCACTGTGAGAAAGACAGTATATTGTTCCTGCAGCAGCACAGATAACAACTCATTAGCATACTGAATCATTTGGCTGCAAGAGCCACTCTGCCACCCATCTGCACTGAGCTGATAAACACACACGCCTGCTCCCTCGCATACACACACACACACACACACACACACACAGATCCATGCAGACCAAGCACACGCACTCACTAAAGCCTGCTCTAACAAACACACAAACATGTACAAGGCAACAAGCCTCCTCTCCTTCCCTCCCTTTCAATCCCTCACATACACACTCCCTGGATCCTCTCTCTTTTTGTGCGTTTTTGGAGAGTTGGGAACATTGAAGCAGGTAAATGTTTGGCAGGCATTAACCCCGAGAACCCCTCAGTCGGTCCCCGCACAGGAGGGGTCTCCAAACACCTGGATGTCTCTGATGCCCTCTGGAAGCAGTTATAGTTTTGAGAACGTCAAAGCTGCTGCTGCTGCTGCTGTCATAATGCTGGAGTTATGGAAAAAAGGCAAGCAGACATCAAAATAGTGGAATTCAACTCTGCTAATTTCTTTTTAAATAACCACAGGCTGGTGAGCATAAATTTCCGATTGCGTAAGTGAATAACTTGCAGGCTGTACGGTTTTGTACAGACACATCAGCCTGCAAACGACTGCAGCGGAGGCTGTCCAAACCACTTTCACAATAGCAGGATATCCTGCAGGTCACCGAGACACGTTAACCTCTGCAGGAAGTTGTCACTTGTTGGGGGGAAGTGAGGATTCAAGCGTTCATTGGGGGAATTTCATGAGGAGGTGTGTGGTTTTAACTTCTTGCTCTTTGTAAAGAAAATTAGGGAAACAGTTGCCTTTTGGGTCGTTTTGTACCTTTAGGAATTTATCAATAAGGGAAGTTACAGTAACAGCCTATTAAGATAAAATCAGATAAATGTTATATAATGTGGCAAAAAAGTAGGAAATTTCCTTTTTGGGAAATGCATCGACTGCGTCAAAATTAAGTGAAACATGCTTGAGTAAAATCACATACCAGGCTTCTCTCTCTGTGTTTTATTCAGGGGTTTTGTATAAAATTCATCGCTTTAACATTGGATATATTTATAGATACAGCTATCATACAGCAAATATGTCATTACCAAACGTACAATGTCCCTTTACTGCAATTCATAAAATACCATAGTTAACAAAGGTACCAATATAGGCTACAAGGTTCTGCTGAAAAAGCAGAATTACCAACAACAGTGAGCAATACTTAACTGCATTTGTGAAAAACTGCTGGTGTTATTATGATATTAACACTGTGTGTGTTAGTGTGTGTATGTGTGTGTGTGTGTGTGTGTGTGTGTGTGTGTGTGTGTGTGTGTGTTAGTGTGTGTGTGTGCACGTGTGCTTGTGTGTGTGTGTGTGTAAAATGCGGCAATGAAGGGATTTATTTGTGTACCTTACTAAACTACAACTGCATTACAGTTTTAAAAAAAAACATTGAAACATTCATATCAAAAGGACTGCATGAGTCTGTCAAGATATCATATGACTCATAATTTGTACACTTTAAGAAACACTGCATTGCTTGTACCTCCACAGCTCTTTCAAACAGATATTTTTGACCCAGCAGTGAAACTGTTTATCCGTCTGTCGCCGTATTTGGTGCGATTTTCACCACCAAAGTGTAACAGAAGTAAATGGTACCACATTTGATGTACTACATTGAGTTCTGAACGTCTACCCATTTTCGCATCTCTCCAAAAATACCATTTTGCTCGTAAACCCAGTGACAAACACACAAAAGTACATCTTAAACCACATGACTTGAACTCCAGTCACTGTTGTTACATTGTGCAGTGGAAATATGATGCTATTTACAATACATACGCAGCTGCATGGGCACAATAGAGTCAAGTCCAATCATTTACGGCCTCAAACTGAGGCAAACTTAATTTTGTGGCATTATTCCATAACATTGATTTTCATTGACTTGAAGCACTCTGCAGCAAGTTGGATCTATTCTGGCTGCACCAAAATCTAACCAATATTATCATTAGTTTATCATTGGACTTTTTTTTATCAAGTGTCTTGTGAGTGATTTTTGGTTTAATTTTAACCTGTTTTTTTTGCATATTTTGTTTACTTTTTTGTGTTTGTACTTTTTTAGAATATCCAGTTTTGGGATTTGAAAAAAACACACACAATTTTAAACTGCCGGTCAGTCAAAGACATGAGACATGCAGAATTTACAAGTCTTTTGTCAGATCAAATTCAACCAGCAACTAATCGAACCAAGCCTCGGGTGTAGTTTGAGGACGAGAAATGTCCACATGATCAATTTCGAAACCCCATTCCCTCTCTCTCTCTCTTTCTGTATGTGGAGATTGATTCATTTCCCTACACTGAACCCCTCAAAGCTAATAGTTCCTGAGCATATCCTCCTCTTTTGTTAGTCCATCTAATTGTCATCTTTCGGTCTCAGGTTTTTTGTTTGTGGATTTTTTGGCTTCAGCATCATCGGCGACTAGAGCCATCTGTCTGGCGCCCGTTGCGCCTCAGATCCCGAGTTGCCAAATGCAGTGGGGGCCCTCTAGAAGCCGTTAGAGTCCTTGGAGCCGGAGGTGAGTCCTGGTCCTCCATAAAGCTCTCAGGACTGCCCTCAGCATCGCCATCAGGTAAGCTTCCGCAGCTCGAGCTCGGTGACATTGTTTCCAGAAGATCGTCCCTTGCCAGGCCCACCGACGTGTCCTGATGTGCTCCTCCTTGAGGGCCACCCTCATGGGCCCCTATCAGCAGCCCTGTTTCCCCGTCTGTTGTGCTGTCAACGGTCCTTCCTCCGTCCTGGTCCTCCAGCAGGTTGGAGAGGAAGCTGATGTACTTCATGGCGAGCCGAAGGATCTCATTCTTACTCAGCTTCTTGTCCGGGGGATGTGTGGGGATGAGTTTACGAAGCTCTGCAAATGCCCCATTTACGTTCTGCTGCCGCCAGCGTTCACGACTGTTTGTGAAGATACGGCGGACAATCTTTGGCTGGCCAGCTAGCAGAGAAAAAACAGAAAGACAACGGGAGAGAATAAGGTCAGGAGCAATTGACAGGTCGACAGTAACCCAAATAACATGAAACGATAACTTAGAACAAATAATGCAATCTTTAAAACGTCAAAGCAACAAAAGTGCAACATTTACAATGGTGGAAGTAGCAGCAGAAGAAAAGATGCACAGGAGCTTTGAGATAAAAATGCATGAAGAAGAAACAAATACTTTAAAATCCTAAAGAGTTAAGTAACACAATTTTCCTCCGTAATATATGGCATTTTTACATGATGGAGCAAAGAGGCTTGAAGTAATACGATGCCATTTGCCAATGTACTATACATAAATGTGTGGTTTGCTACCATACATTCATAACTCAGGAAATTGTGTGAGAGGGAGAAGATGATCTGTACTACATTTTATGCACTTTTTCATTTATTTAGGTATGATAAAATGCCTCAGTGCAGGTACTCACATCCTACCAACTCCAACAATGGTGTCTTCCAGGCTATTGTCGCCCTTGGAACACACCCAGTCTATCTTAATCCTTCAGCCCACTCTGCAGTAAAACCTTGGCATGAAGGCAGCAGCAGCACCCCCATCCTCCACCCCTGAATGTGGCAGTGAGTGGGCAGCAGTGGAAAGCATGTTTCAAATGAAATAAACCTCAAATCCTCCTACATCCAGCTTACTTTAATGGTGTGCAGGTACATGTATTTCACATTCTTATTAGCAACACTCATTTATGCTGTGAATTAGCAAGTATTTATTCATGCAGGTTATACAGTGAATATCCCTTTTTGCAAAGCATCTTGTGCAACCCTCAGATTAGGTACAGCATAGATCCCTGTCAGTGGATGGATGACAATACAAATGTGGAGGGGATGTTTAGTGGACTTATTATTGGCAGAAGGAGGACACAGCAGAAGTGCGTCTTACCATACTTATAAAGATCTAAAATGCGCCTACCCTCGTCGAGTTCAACCTCATAAGGCGCCGGGCGGCGCTTTACCCTGTTGCTGGGGTACATGCTGTACTGCTCCGACTCCCCTCCAAGACTAAGGCAACAGAAAGGAGACAAAAAGTTGAACAGGTATGAGAAAACTAGATTTTTTCATTTTATAATTCCCGTCATTGTGTAAAACCTTTAACTGTCCTTGCAACAACAAACACATAGTAACACACACTCATAAATTACATATTGCTGGGCTTTGGTCATCTGTAATAAATGCAAAAATAGGTGTTCAAAATGTGAACTTAATGAAGGCTATGCACAAAAAGCATTATTAAGGCACAGTAGCCAAATCCTGCAAGTCATCTACCTGCATTCAAACTTTCTATGTTTATCAAACTGAACATATAAAACGTTTGAAAATTAAACTATATGATTCTTCTTCGGTCTGGACCTTTACCTGTTGATGGCGGCGAGAGGCTGCGCCAGGTTGTAGAGCATGGCCCGGGCCGGGACAGGAAACGCGTTAGGGCTCAGTTGGACCATTCGAGCGTCGTCTCGTTGCGGCGGCGGTAGCGGCAACGGTGGAGGTCTGCGAAGTTCTGTGATCGGCACCAAATGGCTCTCAGTCCTATGCTCGAGCGCTTTTATAGCGTCCCTCCTGGAGAGCTCGATCACCGGCACTTCCCTTTTCAGGTCAAGGGCGTTGTGAGAGGCAGTTTCCTTGGCAACGCCGTTGATGATGATGCTGATGCTGGTCCCGTTGCTCGAGTTCTGCAGAGGAACGTCATCCGTCTCCTCAGCCCCCTTCAAGCGCCCTCCCCTCTCCCTCTCCCTCTCCTTCTCCTTCTCCTCCCCCTCCTCCACCCTCCTCGGCTCCTCGTGCTCCTTGTATCCGTTCTGTCTGGTGATGATGATGGAGGAGTCCTCACGCTTTCCAGGACCGGCCTCTGCATCAGGACTGCCAGGACGAAGCTCTGGCTGCCGTTTTTCCATCATTTTTACACCGTCAACAGGCGCTCGAGACCACTACGTCCTAAAAAAGATCAGACTCGCCTTCATTGTTCAGCGCGTAATAGCCTTATAGACAAAATAGATGTAAGAGTTTTTTGTGACATGCAATAAGAAATAAGAACATTCCACTTATTGTCAACTATCTATATAATCGTTATTAAGCTCTAATAATAACGATTATTGAAATAGTTGTAGGCTATAGCATATAGGCCTAGGTTGTCTTCATTTTTTGAAACCTATCGCAAACAAACACGAAACACTTAATTAAATTAAGCTTGTTTATTGCTGCCTGTATATCTAAAAATATATTTATTTTCTTTTTATTTGAAATAAATAAAAAATCTCGAATATAGCCTATTCTTTGCAAAGATGACAACTATTAAATACAATTAATTAACGAGGATTCTTTCACGTGAGCTTATAAAGAACCGAGAGCTTGTTTTAAAAAATAATATATAATAGGCTAGGCTACATTTGTAATTGTGTGACTTTTATAGCCTGTTTCTAATAAGACTTGCCTCAAGCAACCTTTGTATTCGTCTAAAATGTTGCGCCTATCGATATTTAAAATGTGACTTGTTATTTACACAGAGCTTTATCTTCTCCCTCCATGAATGTTTTTTTTTTTTCTCTCCCTTCTATGAATCTCTTATCTAACGCTCGCTTGGCCCCTCAGCACCGTTAAATATCGTTAAATCCTCTACATTTCTGCATGTATGTAAACCCACGTTTGCGCTCACACTGAACTATATTAAAAGGACATTTCGGCTGCTTTTTATTCAGTGCTGAAAATGATCGTCTCATTGAACACTTTTGGATGCCAGAACCACGAAGGGAGCCTTTATTCTTCGTCGACACGAAAACAGCAAACAGCATTCAGCAAAAATCCAAGGAATAAGCCCGTAGAAGAAGAAGAAGAAGAAAAAAAAAACAGTTGGACCTGATCATTTCCATCGGCACAGATATCAGACTTCAAGGTTGTTTAATTTTCGTTTTTATCGAGATGTTGGGCCGTGGAGTTGTCGTTATTATAATAGAGAATCAAAAGGCTTGCTATAATAAATACAATTGGCCTACATGCAAGTAAATGATTATTTTGTGTTTAGTTGATTCGATAAACGCCATGAGAATATTATAATAAACGAATAACAGAGCGCTAATGAGAAAACGTAGGCTACTTTTATTTCTGGGAATTCTCTGTAATAGGCCTCGCATCCGTTATGACATCCCGTACAGCCTCAACCATTCGATCGGACAATAGCAGAAAATATAGGCTAAGTATTTCGCTCATAACACCAAGAAAATCCAGACAAGAGCAATCCAATTAGAGCCTTTAGAAACAACAAACGTGGCGGTTTAAATAAAGAGATGTAGTGTTATTTTTTTTACTCACCGTTCCAGCCGTGTTGTTGATGTTACTGTGTAAGTGGAGCCATTTTGTGAGTGGGTCATCCATGTCTGAGGTTTTTCTTTTTTTTTTTTTTCCTCTGCCAGTTGTGGAGCAGTGTGTGTGTGTGTGTGTGCGTGCGTGTGTGTGTGTGTGTGTGTGTGTGTGTGTGTGTGTGTGTGTGTGTGTGTGTGTGTGTGTGTGTAACTGAGTTATTCCTCGCCGCATCCAGCGCGCTCCCTCAGTATGGGGAGCGGAACACAGGCCGCAATGTGGCCGAGAGAGATAAGCGCACGGCAGCGGCCTCTTCATTCCCGATAAGCCCCTAAACCCATTATTTATGAAATGATTCATTATTATTTGGCTGTCGTGGGCTATATAGGCTTGTGGAGGGCAAAGCATTAAAAAAAAAGAAAAAAAAGAAGCAAACAGGCACAGCGTAACGGCCTGTAACAACGTAAGGTAGTGTAGTACTGTAGCTTGAGCTTTAGTTGAGGTGTTTTAATTTTTTTTTATTAAAGAAACAAAAGCTCAGGTTAAGCTTCGGACCTATTTATAATTCAAACAAAGGGCTTTTCGCTAAGCCCATTTATCCTGCAAAAAGATAGCGCTAAGTGACGATAGCAGAGGGTCGTGTGTCTTTTAGCCTATTTTCTTTTCTTTTTCATTTTATCCCAAAAAGAGTAAGCTATATCCATTTTCCATTCCTGCGCCCTGAGGCTGCACGTGCTACTGATACAATACACCAGTGAGCTGACGAGGGTGTAATTATGATAACGATGCCTTAATAGAAAGGGATTCAATTCTTTATCGATTGATTGATTAATAAATAGGGGAATGAATAAATGTGCTGTTGCGTGTAATTGCTGGTGTTAGGGGCCTCGCATGGTCGGCGGTTCCCCGGGGCCAGTGGAGAGGCATCATGGCTGTGGGAGATAAAAGCGCGTCAGCTCCTGGACGCATCAGATAAAAGAGCCGCGCGCTATCAGAGCGAGTGCAGGACAGTTGAAATTGTAGCAGGTACATCCTAATAACGGATTTTTTCTCACAGCTTTTTTATTTTTGACAAATAAAATTGTGAATTTTAAATGGTACCATAAAAGGGCCTTAATATAGATAGATAGATAGATAGATAGATAGATAGATAGATAGATAGATCAAACACGATACACGGATTTGAGTCGTATATTTATGTGTTAAAAAAGAAAACAGCTTCACACTCAGCTCAGTCACGACCTTTAAACAGACCTGTTGAGGCAGCAGTCACGACCAATATCCTCCATCCTGTTCCTCACAACAGCACAGCTTCAAGTAATCTCTTTCGACTTTTTTTTCTTTTGCATCTAAGGACACCATTCGTTCCAGGATTTCTCAGTGCACAAATGTTAAAATACATGAGCCTAGCTTGCTACAGCCATTTGGAAAAATTTTTTGAAACATCTGATTAAACATAGAATACATCAAGTGAAATTATTGAAATTGAAAAACTATATATATATGCATAATTAAAGGATGTGGTACATTAAACAATAACAGTTTGACAAAATATATTATTTTATTTATAGAAGCAAACAGTATCCGTTTCAAAGGGTGATAGAAATAAAATATCTCAATCTGTGATACAGTAGGATACCTTTTTGTTTAGTATTTGTGTTTCAGACAATAATAAACCTGTCAAAGCTTGTGCTGACAGCTCTTTCATCTGCAGGTCTCAAGGCCCTGAATGACATTAACAGCACAGCCTCAGACATGTCAATCATCATAATTAAACAACCTGAATCAAAGACACAGTTTTAGGAAATGACAAAAGACCTAAGAAATGAAGATCACCTCACTAAGCATTTAAGTTTTTACACTATTACACTTGTACTTTTTTTTCAGTAACTTAAGACAAAAATAAATGCAGTCATCCTTTTTTAAGGAAGAGTTTTTAAATAATAAATGAAAGATGAGGTAAAAATTCAGCTACATTTAAATGAAACTATTATTAGGCTATTAGGCTAAAGTGAGACCTAAAAAAATGCATAAAAACAAGTCATGCTGGATTGGAATCCTTATTCCCTGACTTTACCATCATTAAAATAACAATAGCTATTCTAAAATCCAGTTAATAACTAATTTTAGCTGTCTGTTAATGTATTTGTAAGCCATTAACATGGGTTTGCACTCAAAGGAAAATTACCTGTAAACCTGAGATCCTATATGTTTGTATTTTAACTGCAAATAATACACACTGGCTAGCTGACATCGGCCACAGGTTGTAGACCATAAGCAGGGTTTGCAGTGGTGAATTTATATCCATGGCTCTGTGCCACGTCTTTCTCTCCACTTAGCGCTGTATGCGTCTGGCTGGCATGATCCGAAGAGAGGCAGTGCTCTCCCTGGTCATGAGCCGTGTCACCTGGTCCAGACTGAGGCTGGCCACCACCTCTCCATTCACCTGAAGGATCTCATCGCCGATGCCGAGGAGACCAACGTAGGGACTCTCACCACTACCGTCACCCACTTTCTCTACATACACCCCTGAGAAGAAAACAATAGGCGGGTAAGAAGGGTGAAATAAAATGAAAGGAGATAGTTGCATGGCGTAAGAACATTTCTTAGTCTATCCAATCTGTCTTTTTTACTCTTTATTCCTTTTATCTTAAAGTTTGACAACATTTAAATGAAACATATCTTCACAGTTAATCACAAAAATAAAACAACTGCTATTCTATGCTCTACATTTCAAACTGTACAATGTTGATTTAAAGAGTTACCTGTATCTGGTCGACCTTTGCCTCTTGAGATGACAAAACCGAAGGGGCCATTTGGGGGTCTGACAAGCTCCAGGAGGAGAGTTCCATCAGGAAAGGCTTGAGTGACCCGGCCCACTGGACGCACCATTCTGGAGGTAAGTACATCTTCAACACTCAGTGCCCTATGAAGCTCAATCTGAGGGCTGTCAGGGCTGCAATAGCACAAATTCAACTTTAATAATCTGTAACCAGAAGTAGTCAAAATGTTTTATGCAGATATACACCTCATTTATTTTGTTCTCTTTGTGTTTATTTACACTAAATTTTCTTAGCCTACCTGGGTGCCAGGCCATACGGTATCTGCACCTCTCCCAGAATTGTTGAGCGTTCTGTTCTTCTTTCCAAACTCTGCACAGATGAGGCTTTGCGCAGTTGGGCCAGTGGCAGCACCTAGTGGCAAATAAATGGCACTGTTACAAACTCTTGTTTTTCCATTTGGCAAAATTCTCCACAACAGCTATTGGAACTGGAAACTTTTTGCTCCAACACTAACTGTGTGTTTTGAACCACACACATCCGTAAAATATTGCCAATGCAATTGGCTGGAACAGAAAGTTGTTTCCATTTTTTTTAGTGTACTTTAACAGCTGCCAAGAGGACAACTAGGACAGAAGGTGGAAGGAAACAACCTGGAGAGCATTTTTCATGCTTCTAGAGTCAGGCGCAATTTGTAATACTTCAAAGCCTCAGTTGGTCCACTGTGGCAAATAAGTAGTGAAAGGTACTTCAAAGCTTAATTTGAAGTTTAAAGAGATGTAAATAAGGTTTTTTCCTCCCTACGGCCTACTTTTCAAGGTAAAAATCTATTTGATGTTTGTTGTTGATGTTCACATGAAAGTAAACAGAAGACAATAGCAGGTCCAGCATAGCAGTCCTTGAACAGAACATGGCATGAAAAAAAATTCTCACTGGGTGCAGGGTTTGCAGTGAGGGTGTCCTCTGGATGCGGCTGGGAGGAGGTGGTCTGCGTGTGGGGCTTGGTGAAGTAGAACTGGCCCGGGGCGGAGCGGGTATACTGAGCTGTTCCATGCTGCTGGAGCGTCCTCCTTTCACCAGTCTGCCAACACTGTTCAGACCAATGGAGGAAAAGAAGCGACGCAAGAAAAGCTTTGGCCGTCCATCCATCTTTCTGTAATGTAGAGACATTATATTCTTATTAGGTGGTAATATAGACTCAAATGTTTTATCTAAGACACAGTAACTACTTCAACATCTCTATCAGCCAGCAAACAATGATAATGATAAATAAATTATTTTGCAGATCATGACGTTGCATACAGTCTTCACAAGTAAACCTTTTTGTTACCACAAGAGGGCAGGATTGTCCTGTTTCCGAAATACCCAGTGCAACAAAATCCTGTGGACTGTTAGGTCACCAGACTTCACCAGCGACTTGTTTTGTCTTGTCTTACCTGGACCCGTCACAGTTCTCCTCCCATACTGCCTCGGCTTTCAGGTGTTCTGCTCTCAACAGCTCTGCTCTGAGGCCCTCAGTCCGAGACAGAGCCAGGCCCCGAAGAGCAGGACGAAGCTCAGGACCAGAAGCAGAGTCTCCAAGACCTGCTGGGAGATGCACTCAGCTGATGTCAAAGAATTATTTTAAAGTGTTCTGTCACATGTTTAATTCTCTTCTATCCTGATCTTTTCCGCTTTATTATACTCTAAGAACAAGATTAAACTTTGTAATATTCAATTTTGCTCTGGTCTACTCCATAGAGTTTGTTCTACTCAAAGAAGTTCTGTTTTATTCTCTTCTGTTCTGTTTCCAATATAATGTATGTATTTTTTTCTTTGACCTTAATAATGATTAAGATCATGTCAACTAGACTTTTCTGTCTTTAGGATGATGAATACCAATTACCTGGCATAATTAATTAAACTTTATAACATTTAACTGAATTGAATGTGCCTTTACAGTATTATAAGAATGAGTATTTTCTCTGACCCTGCTTTAAAAGAGATCTTCCTGAACTAAAGAAACATAATGCTCTATTGCTTGTTTTATGAGCTCAGTACAATGATCTGGATATCGCCTAGACTTGATCTTTTAGACATGCACAGCAGATTTTTGTCTGCACTAGATACATGATCAAAAATGTGTTTGGTTTGGTCCAGGGGAGAGTCTGGGTAGGGCATGCAGGAGTATAGGGGGGTGGGGGCCCTTTGTCATGATGATTGCTTTTGTTGACATATGATTGGGAGTACCAATCAGCAGTATCAGCAAAAGACTGGAAAACAATAGACAGGCTAGGACAAAACAGTATTTAGTTCTTGCCAAACCACAACCTTTAATGTTGAAAAATAAAGCCAATGCAAAAGAACTGTAGTTCCTCAAGTGTCCATTCAAGGCTGACTGTTAAAGTGTGCAAGTCCAATACACACCAATGCTAAATGCTATTTTGACAGCAGAAATAAACATGTGAACCAGCTTGTTAAAATAAAAATGTTCTCAATAGCTAATTTCTTTATGTGCACACAGAGGGTGGGGGATGATATATAGGCTAAGACCTATGCATAATAGAAGCATGGCGGGTGCGTTGAAGCTGTTTACCAGGAGGCTGAAGGCCCACCTCAGCTCCTAGCCTGTTACTAGGTTGCCCGAAATTAGGGGGAGTGAAAATTCCCAATATGTTAAATGCAATTATTGGCCTCAAAACTATGCTTCAATAACCAATGGGTGACATCACTAAGACAATGTCCATGTTTAATACAGTTTATATTTAGCACAGAGTCTCTATGTCACCACCATAGACTGTAAATAATAAGGTCACCACTCACCTGTTCCGTCCGGGGTTGAATCCCAGACTTCAGAAGACGGCAGATCAGTGGTGATGCGGGCTGGGGAGTACCTGAGGGTGGAGGGCCTTAAACAGGGTACTGGGATGCTGGTTGCAGGAATCACTTGGGTCAAAGCTACCAGAGACTCCCGTCCTGTATCTGGTGAGTCCAGGTGCTGGGACTCTCCCTCGCTTCCCTGATCTGAGGTAATTTGGAACTGAACTGTGGACTGCCCTGCTGCAGAGCGATTTCTGGAACTTGACTTCAAGGCAGATTTTATAGGCAGTGATGGAGCAGAGGATTCCCGTAGTCCACCGGATGCTTTCAGCAAATGGGGCTCTAGAGCTATGGGGCTGCCTGGGGCGAAGGAGACAGCTCTTTCCAAGTTGACCCTACTCCTTGGATTTGAATTACGCCGCTGTGCCCAAGATGGACCATACGGGCCGTTGCCAGACTCTATCCGACTTTCTCCTTTCCTGCTCCTTCTCCTAAGTTTTCCAAACCCTGAGGATTTCCAGCCTGTGCTTCTCTCTTTACTTTCCCCAAGCACATAAGCCCCAGCAAAAGTGACAGTTAGAGACGCTTTGGGACGAGTAATCACCTCTGGCTTGCTTGGAGGCACCCAGTTAGGAGAAACTTTTCCTCCTCGTTGGTCCTCAGGGTTGCCTAGAAGCTGCGGATCCAGCTTCTGTGGATCGGATGTTGATGAAACTGGCTGGGGTTCCCTCACTACAGAGCCACATGCCTCACATTTCTTCACTAGCACTATTATCTCTTTAATAACTGTTGTAGGTTCAACATTGAGGCCAACCTCTTCTGGCTTTTGTGCAGGAGGCATGGAGACACTTCTATGGCCTCTGCTCCGCTCTGAACTGCTGCTGCTAGAATCTGTTTTACTCTCTTTACTCTTGGACTTAGGCGCCCCAGGCCTGCCTCGCTGTCTTACTCTATCCAAGTACCGAGACTCTGCTTCCTTTTCAGATTCATCTTCAAAGCGTACCCGTGTTGGTGAACAACCATACCGTCTGGATCGAACACCATTGTCTCCAGGGGCAATATCTCTTTGGTTGGGGATGGGGAGGGGAATAGATACAGTTTGGGGTGTGACATCATCTTTGGTTTGAACAGCTTTCTGCAGTACCACTGGACTGGGAGGCTCATCTTGCGTAGTCTTTCTGCAGGGTGCACACAACAAGTGCATATTACAAACATTTTAATTCAGCAATTGTCTGCCACAGAAAGACACTTGTTTCAAACACTTTTTCATAGTTATATCTTATGAAAGTGAGGCAAACTGAAAGCAAAAATTAGTTCAAGTGTAATAAATTATTTGAGGCCAATAACAATAACCAAACCGTGTATCCAAACCACTCCAATCCACATCTTTAACAGTTTTTCGTTTATTTAATCTTAGCCTTACAAAAAAAAGGCTGACATAAACAAGGTTATCAAAAAGTAGAGACATATGAGACAGAATGAGTAGGAAACTAAAAGTAAGAGACATGGGCAGTGCATTGAAAGAATATAAATAGGATCTCAACAATGACTCACACCAATGCTTGACGTATGCAGTTTCAAAGACAAAAAAAAAAGACATTTGTTGCCTCCAGCATCTAACTTTTGAAGATGACAGAGAAGTCAAAGCCTGTATAAGTAGATGCAGCCAACTTACTCAGCAGACCTCTGGTTGGAATGGGAGCGTCTGGAGGGGCAATCGCCTTTGACATGATTGGAACGAGCCTTTAGCCGGGCTCTCTCCAGCAGGCGCTTGGCTTGCTCATGTCTTGGGCTCAGGGGAAGCTCATCACTGATTACAAGAAGTGACCTGAGGATGAAGAGAAACATGAAAAAGTGCAGAAATAACTCATTTAGGCAATGTATGTGTATTGTTTGTTGTGACATATCCAGCAACATCATGTTCCCCACAGCTTGACTTAACATAGAGTGAAATCCAGCTGTGTTGTCCTAAGCTGTTTTATGTAACATCAGCTAGAAAGACTGGGGGGCAGTGGCAGTGAGCAGCAGAGAGAAACGTCATCCATCCATCCTTATGTCCAGTGGTTAAGCTACTCTGCATTGTACTTGTCTTTATCCCCTGGCCCAGTGATAAAGATAGCATGCAACAACAACCATGTGGATTATCCTTGTAATGGCCTGAGCCTGATTCATTCTCTCCTGGGTGTAAGGCGGAGAACACATTGTGTTGAAATAGATTATAGTTGCATGTCAGTGTCTTATCCCAACACTGACAAACAGTTTGATTAGCAGTCAGTTTTGACACTTTAAATAAAGCCTTTGTATTCTCAGATAATAATGATGATGACCATAATGCACCATATAAATAGCAATAAATACTACATTTAAAATAGTGCCACCATTGAAGAGAGTTTTCTAAAAGTGGTGGATCACCATTGACTGTACAGTACAAAAACTGGATGTAGTCTCAATGATGTCACCCATTGGTTTCTGAAGCGGTCCTCATAATTGAAATGCTATCTCCATCTAACTTTCAATCAATCTAGTAACAGGCAAAGAGGTGGAGCTTAGGCAGGCCTTAAGCTTCCTGACAAGCAGTTATGTGTCCACCTGTCAGTCATCTCAGCCATGCCTCTAATTATGCAATGTATGCATTACTCTGAGCCTTAACATTATAAAATCATATAGGTTTTGACCCCACCATACATTTTTTTCCAATCGAGAAATGATCTGTCTGAGCCCAAAACAATTTCTAAACCAGGGTTTAAACATGGTTTTTATTCAAATGCATTTTAATTGGCTTTTGCAGCAAGCCTCAAGCGGACACTCACTTAATTAACAGATGACCACTTGGAGTATGGCCTGAAGTTATTGTCTTGTCCAGTCAACACTAATAATAAGATAGTTGGACTTAATTGCTATTGTAACATACTCCAGCATGCAAGTCTCTTCTAAGTTCAAGCTTCAGTTTTCTTTTTGGGTATAATAACAGCGTAATTGTTATTCCATTACAAGTTGTACATTTCTATTTCTTAATTTCTACATTCTATTTCATTCATGGATCACTTCTTGAGCACGATTTAACCTGCTGTCGCAATGTATGTTTTGATTTCTAAGTGGGCAGCCTCTCTGACACTCTCGCTGCTCTAAATACCCACAAGTGGAACTGTAGGAGTGGAATTTATGAGATGAAGATATAAATAGTGCACAGGCGTTGTATGTCAGCATCCGTACCAGGACCATAACGAAGCATTACATTACTCACCTCAAATAGGGTTCAAGTTCCTGATCAAGAATGGCTGAGTCAGAGCTGTCCGAACCCCCGTGGGCACCTGAGTCTGGCAACATATAGAGAACAGAAGTCCATATTTCAGCAGATCTGATGTGAATACAATTCATTGTATTTAGAATTGTTAAAGTGCTTCAAAACTATATTTGTATCCCTCAACTTGTGCTATTAAAAACTGCATTGTATCAAGGGTTAAATGGTATGAAGTGGGTAAACAGTTACTGGTAAAAGAGCCATGAGACAGAATGATACACATGACCATGAAAGTATTTAAATTATTGGATGTAGATTTTTCATAGATCTGTATGCAATTAGATTCAGTGACAGTGACTCATCCTATTGTCTTACAATATTACAATTGTATTGTCTGTATAAATAAAGTTAATGCAACTACCGAAAACACAGAAGAAGGAGTTTTCTCAGAGATAAAGATAAAGATAAACTTTATTGATCCCCCGTGGGGGAAATTTGTGCATTACAGCAGCTCCAGAAAACAGGGGACGGGAATAGGGGGTTGATTTACCCATATGTCCAGTACTGACTGTGCTACAATCACATACATGAAACATACATGCAGTATTATGCATGGTTTGGGAACACACTAAATTTGGCACGTACATGTATACAGAGACATCCATCAGCCCACAGACGGAGATACAAAGGAGAGACACTTACCCCCACTGCTTTCATTGCTAATAATAGCAACAACCACATGCACATCTGCACATCTGACATCTGTTCAACACTGGGAATCAGCTAGGTTACATGTACAACAGCATGGGGCTTGCACAAGTAAATTTGATTGGTTGGAGAAACTGGAAAGCTTATAAAACCTTCATTAATGTATAAATGCTGCTTCTGACGCTTTAATCTTAATGCAAATTCCCTATTGACTTCAAATTGCAAAGGTTTTGAATAAGTCCTATGCAGCAAAGGCAAATCAGAGGCATACAATGAACAAGTAAGCCTTTATTCAACTTGTAGTGACTGTCGTTTAGAGTATTTATGTAAGGGTTATTTTATTTATATCACAATCAGTTTGTAAGATATGACACAATCCAATTATAAACTAACAACAAAATTAAGCTGCTAGAGATCAAATATTTTCCAATTATTTTGCCCCACCCATTGGTGGTAAGAGTTTTAAATTTGACATTAATCTCAAGTGACCTACCTGTACCTTCCACTCTGTATGTTGTGTCTTCATAGTTGTCTGCACTTTCTCCTCCACTCTGCTCTCTCTCCTCCATGTAGTTCTGTTTCCTTTCCCTTAACCTTTCATAAGCCCTCTGCTTCACCTTCAGTTTCTCATCCGCAGAGAGCAACCCACTTCGTGAAGACATGCTCTCCCAGCTGTCCGAGCTGCACAGTTCCAAGGCCTCTGTCTCCTTCTGCACACACCTGTCCAGGAAACACTCAACACTGTCTGAGTGTTTGAACTCGGCAGAAACAGCGCAGTCATCGACCGAAATTCCAACATCGCTCCTGGTTCCTGTGTCTTCTGGTTCAGACTTCTGAGGCTCTGTCTGTGCTTCTGCCTGAGTATAGTCTTTCAAAGGTAGAGTGGAGGATATGTTGTTAGGGCCAACGCCATTGAGAAGCAATGTTTCAGGACGTGCAACTCTCCAGAAGCCTTTTGGTGGTGCCCAGCGTCTGGTTGACATGGAGGAAGAAGTGGAGGATGTTGCAGAAGCAGAGCTGGCTGCAGGAGAAGAGGGGAGAGTAGGGAGAGAAGGTGGAGGAGGAGATGGCTCGTCCTTACTGCTGCTTGAGTTATCAGACAGAAGACTTTCCAAACTGGTGCCCTCATCGAGCCCATAAGGCTGGAAACTGACATGGCTCTCATTTCTTTCTGACCTCTCTTCTTCAGTATCCTCTCCCTCCTGAATTAACTCAGCTCCTTTTGCTTCAGGTGGTGGGCTGTGGATCTCCAACCTGACTTGCACCTCCACCTCCTCCTCTTCATCGCTGCTGCTCAAGATCTTTGCAGCGCCTGATCGCCAGGAAGAGGTAGGCAAAGATACCTGACACTTCCCTCTGGGCCTCGGCCTAAGGAGCACTTCGGATGAAATCTGCCCGACTGGACTGCTCCCTACATCTGCGTTTAACCTCTCTCTATCTCTCCCTCGTGTCCTTCTCTGTGTGAGTGACTTCACCTTGGTCTGTAGTGCATGCACAGCTGAATTATGAGGAGTAGGAGGAGGAGGAAGCTGGGTGCTTAAAGAGGGTGAAGGGAAAACAGGCTCAGGGACTGGGCCAGTGATGAGTCCCCAGTTAATGGGAAGTCCCGTGGGTAAAGGAGAAATGTATTGTGCTTGAATGTTATCAACCACCTTCTCCTCCTCCATCTGCTGGTCCTGTACAGAAAAGTGCAGAAAAATCCTTTTAATAGAAAACGTCTGTTTTTAATAGCATGCATTTAAAACCATGTCTCCTATACATCTGTTTTTGTCTCTGTCTGATCTGCCTGGTGAGAAGATATGTAATGTGGTTTCAGTCACGTTGCTTTATCCACAGATTACTTTGCAGTGCACAGGATAATCCTTCAGAATGAGAGTTAGCAACTGCTCACCGCAACTGAACCTCTTCTCCAATGAACAGTGTAATAACAGTTTGTCATCAAACAAAACTTCCAATGTAAATCAGCTCCTATTTAATATAAAGGTTTGCAAATGCAAACTATGCATTATGAAACTAATTAGGTAATTTAAACAAATGTTCATCAACATTATCAGCAAGGCAGGTTTCAAGACACATTGTTAAACAGAGTAAGTTGCATAAATAGACCAACATGAAAAGTGTGGGTTGGGCTACCTGAGTAGTTAGTGCAGACGTTGTTCTTTATATAACAAATCCAGCGTTGTCCATCATTTGAAAGGTCCAATACATTCCATTGCAGCTGCTCAAATAAGAGTTACCATTCATTCTGAAACCTGCGTGCAGATACTGCAGCGCGCATCTGCAGGTCAGTCAGCCACACGAGCAAAAAAGACGGAGCAACTTTTCCCTCTGGATAAATAAAGGAAATTACATTTTCTCAATGACTCTTCGTGTCTTCATGCTGTTCTTCCACTCTCTCTCTCTCTCTCTCTCTCTCTCTCTCTCTCTCTACACAGCTCCCGGTCCGGGCAGTGTCAGAAGAGCCAGCGGCCTCTCAATCATGATTGGTCCGGTAATCCCTTCAGAAATCAGTGGGGATTAGACAAAAATGGAATACAAAAATGCCTGCTTTAGTTTCGTCCTTGCCCCACGAACCTGTTACCGAGTGAAGCTCTCTCTGTTGCGTAAGTAGGCTATACACACATCGACTCCCTTCACACAACAGACTCGTAACCCAATGAAAAAAAAAAAGAGAGAAAAACTAAAATGGTTTGATAGGTTTTTCTTCAGCCTAGATATCAACATGGGGACATGTCGATGTGTCTGATGATACGATGTGTTATGAAAAATATAGGCCACTTTTTTTGCATCGTAAAAACAACTGTCGGCTTATTCCTATTTGTCAACAGAGCTGATCCCTCCCTCTATCGCAATTTAACCACAGCTCCCCTCTCCCTCTCTTCTGTCTATCTGTTTTCATAGGCTACACACACACACACACACACACACACACACACAGCCTCACGCACAGTCAGTCTAACTGGGACAAGGCTCTTCTTGCCAGTTCTCACAATCCCCAGATGTGGACAGACTTTGGCAGATGTTGTTCAGTATTATTTTTGTGCCTGTGTGTGTGTGTGTGTATGTACATGCCGTGTCATACCGGCAGAGGGCGCCATAAGCACAAGACCCACCCACACACACACACACACACACACACGCGCGCGCGCGCACACACGCACACGCGCACACCGCGCACATCCCCCAGCTAGCTGTAACCGGCTAAGCGTCGCTGCTGTTGAGTCGCCGCCTCCCCCAAAACCTCGGCAGCAGCTAAGCTGCACAGTCGACATGGCAAGAAAATATCGCAACAATTTCCTAAAGAAAGATGAAAATCTTCCAAGTCTTTTGGAATGAGTGAGTAGCATCGATAAAAAAAATCATATTATTGTCCTGATAATAAACTCTTAGGTGTTTTATGTTGTGTTTAAATGATGTTAATGACGCATAGCTGTGGTTTAGTTGTTGCTAACGCTAAAGAGAGGTAGCATACAGGCTAACAGGAGGGGGGGGAGTACGGCTTGTTAGCCTTCCTGAGTATTTTGTCTTAGCCGATTATTACAATGTGACCACAATATAGTCCTACTAAGTGAATTATGTGCAACAAAAATCCATCGGTCGGTGACAGTATAAGTATTATGAGAGCAGTGTGGTTGCTGGGTAGAGTTACATAATGTCGCTGTGGAGAGTCAAATGGCTTCACTTTCCAGTGTGTCACTGTGCTGATCTACATGTCGTTTCCTTCACCGAGATATAACTCAGCGTGAGTGTCAGTGTAACATATTCACACTCGCATCTTTATTCGGGTCTACGACTGTATTATAACCAACTCTTAAATAAGTTAAAGATCATTTATAATATATATATATTTTTTTTTAATCAAGACGACGCTCACTCGCTAGCGAGCAAAACACAGCAAGAGCTAGCCACCCATAGCTTAGCTTGCTAAAAGTATGCTAACGTTCACCGCAGCTACAAAACTATCACTTTGATTAAAAGGTAAAAAAACAAACCACTCGCGATCGTGTAAATTCCAGTCGACAAAAAGCCGCGTTAGAAATAACAGTGTAAATTATACTGATAACAATCATGTTTGCAGCAAACTATTAAGGAGAACTATTAAAGCAAACGACAGTCTTAAAAGAAGCTACATGGACTTCGTTGTTAGCCTCTTCAGGACCCTTTGTCCGTGTTCGTAGTGGGGAAACAAGCTCTTGTAAATAGGCCACACATCAGTTGTTTTGATCCTTCTCCGACGTTTGTTTTCACTTTTTATTGAAAGTGAATTGATCCCCCCCTTTTGTTTAAATATAGTTTTATGTCATTACTGAACAACGCACTGTTCTCGATATTAGTGTTAACATCGTACTATACGATAAACCTACTTTTACATCCAGATGCCTTTCAGATATTTCTCTTCGGAGATGCACTTGATCTGTAAATGATCATATTATGGATTGTGATATAAAAAGTATTAAATGGTAATAAAAAACTGAAATGTTTTTTTTTTTAACCATGGAAGTTAACAAAAGTAACATTTATAATGAGAAGCTTAAAAGCTGCAGGGCGGTCTCAAAGCAAAAGGCCAAAATGTAACATGGCAGAATATTTTTAATTGTTTGATTGCGTATCCTGTATTTTCTCAATTAGCTGTTAATGGGGTTGGGAAGTGTGTCAGCAATGACGTGTGATGAAACTTAACCTGAACATGAAATACTAACATGAGTCATTTTCAGAAAGGCAGTAATGGAAAAATGTCACATTGTTCAATTTGATTTTCCACATATACACAAGAAAAACATGTTGGCGACAGAAGTTACATTACTTTGCACAGAGATTGTAATAGTTGCTTGCGTACACTATGTTTTTGCAGGGAATCTCTATATTTCAGCTCTATACTTAATTGCTCTCATTAATTGATGTTTTTTGTTTTTTTAACATACTTGTCTTTGTCTTTCTCTCTCTTACAGTATTCATCACGCGATGTGATCCAAAATCCACAATGTGTGAGAAAATTTAAGAACGATTGAGTTCGGAAGAAAAATTCTTGATTCCAGTGGAATCTTCCATATATATATTAATATTATTATTATTAGATTTTTTTTCCTGTGTTAAATCTTACACACATTTACACACACTTGTCCCATCAACATATAACCATGCCAGTGCAAGCACCACAATGGACGGAGTTCCTGCTGTGCCCAATCTGCACACAGACATTTGAAGAGACTGTTCGCCGGCCCATCAGCTTGGGCTGTGGACATACTGTCTGCAAGATGTGCCTGAACAAGTTACACCGAAAGGCCTGTCCCTTTGACCAGACAGCCATCAGCACAGACATCGAGCAGCTACCTGTCAACACAGCTCTGTTGCAGCTAGTGGGAGGCCAGGTAAGGCTTGTGTCTGTGTTCGTATATTTGTTTGGCAGTTTATGGCACAGCTTCCATGTTTAATTTTTCTTATTCTAGCTTGTGATTAAAGATAAAATACTCTTGGGTTTTTTTTAGTAGTGGACCATTTTAAGAACATTTTATTTTAATGTTGACAGTAAAAAAAAAAAATCTCTGTAAATACTGTTTCAAGACTTTTTTAAAGTGTTGTGCATGAGCTGCTACATGATGAACATAGCTTAAAGATTCCTGCATGAGTCACACTCCAATCATTGAGCAATTACTTTAATTCATTTGGTGTACGGAGTGCTGGCACAATCAGTTGTGTTTCTCTGAGGCAATGTTTGACCATCAGGGTGGAGCACCTCTAATGGTGTTTTGTCTTTGTTGGCCAAGTTTCCATCCATAAACTGTACAATGAAGGATAACGTCAGTGTATCGACTTAGAGCCTTATGAGTGTCTGATGTTCTCATCACTGGTATGTCTTGTCTCTTAGGTGAATGCCTAACATACTGTGCTCATGTAGGCTAGAAGCCTACAAATTCCAGTCAAGTAAAATGCCACAATTGAAACTGAAATGTTTTTTTTATACCATGGAAGTTAACAAAAGTAACATTTATAATGAGAAGCTGAAAAGCTGCAGGGCGGTCTCAAAGCAAAAGGCCAAAATGTAACATGGCAGAATAATTTTCATTGTTTGATTGCGTATCCTGTATTTTCTCAATTAGCTGTTAATGGGGTTTGAAAGTGTGTCAGCAATGACGTGTGATGAATCTTAACCTGAACATGAAATACTAACATGAGTCATTTTCAGAAAGGCAGTAATGGAAAAATTTCAGATTGTTCAATTTGATTTTCCACATATACACAAGAAGAACATGTTGGCGACAGAAGTTACATCGCTTTGCACAGAGATTGTAATAGTTGCTTGCATACACTATGTTTTTGCAGGGAATCGCAGGGAATAAAAGTCACCACCCTCTCCCACTCGCATGTCTCTGTGGTCTCTACAATGTATTTTAAATGTTATGTGAGCAATGATAGACAATTCATTAACTTAATTAAGTTTAAACACATTGAGAAGTATCTTGATAATAGACAGAACACTCAGCTAGTCAATACATTTAAAAAGGGGACAGAATTATGGCTGTGAAAGTTCTCTACTTCACACTCATTAGATCATTATTGAGATAACCATAAAGGGCTCCAGCTTTGCTATGATGTTACCTAATGATTTCCTTCTCTGTGTTCTGCTGTAGGTTCCTAAGGCTCAGCCAGTTGCCTTGATTACCAGTCCAGAAGACTCACAGCATTATGAGGAGGCCAGACAGTGTGTGGAGGAGCTGGCTCTCTACCTCAAACCTCTAAGCAACACCAGAGGTACTTTAAACACAGCCACAGCCTTGTCATGTTTTTTTCCTTTTTCTACCTTTCTCACAAACTGCCAGGATAATTAAACTTGAGGTTATTGTCAACATGTGAAGTCTAGTATACAATATTTTTGGAATTCTGTGGCACAAAATGTGTGAATATTGTTGCTGATTGACAGTTATTTCATTCTTCCCCTTTCAAAAATGCTGAGTTAAGATTACTAGTTATTTCCAGAGGTGCCACCATAAAAAAACAAAAAAAACCCACAAGCATCCATTACAGCTCATGAACTTGGAGCCCTTTGAACATTTCCATTGGGAAAGTTTTCATGTAATGTAAATGTAACACAAAGGGGGTTAGATTTACACTTTTGTACACGGATAAAAATGATGCCCAGTTAAAGGCATCAGAATTACATATTGAGGATACGTCTGATCATTTACATTTTGGATCGTCATCAGTTGAACTGTGTAATAAGTACTATCATAAAATACTTTGTTGCAATCAATACCATGCTTTAAAATAATGTTTTTAAGACTTTGAAGTTATTTCTGGGTTAATGCTTAAATCAGCCGATTTTTATTTGGAGTTTTGCCAGATGGACCTGGTGTATCCATCATTTAAAAAAAAAAAAGCAGAACTACCTTTTTTCTGTTAATATAGTGCAGAGACATTCCTCATGTCTACTTCTTGTTAATGGCCTTTAAAATGTTTTTATAGTCACATGGTTTAGCCACATTGGACATTGAATCATTGCATATATTATGTACAGCACTACTTTCAAAACAAAATGTGTACAGCACAACACTGTTTATACACCACTCCAAAGAACCCCTCAGTTACTTCAGCACAGAGACAGACAGACTGGTCGATGTTCATAATCAAACATTCAGGATTTAATCAACAAGTCATGGAAACAGCTTGTCTTTTTATAAACTGTTTTCCAGGCCTAAGTGTTGGTTTTGAAAAGGCATATGTAGGGGACCAACTCATAAAAATGTTCCTTACTGCAATACAAATATAGAAACGGAATCCCCTATATTACATTCTGTATTATTCATGATTCTGTAAGATTGGTATTCTAAAGAGAAGTAAACAGTCCTTTAAGGACATTGTCAGACCACCAGGTGAATGATGGGACTTTGAAACTGATAGAATGTGAAATATGGTATTCATAAAGGGAGTACCAGCCAGTCTTTTATTATGTTTCTATTTATATAAAGACAATTTCATGAGTAATTGTTGCATAAAAATATACAAGACTACATGAAATACAGGCTTAGAGGCTTCACATTTCCTGTTGGAGCATCCCCTTCTGTTTCAATCGTGTAAACTAACAAATTAACTTTTATATTGTATTAAATTTAATCTTAAACAGGACACTTTAAAAAGTATATACAACAGGCTTGATGTGAGAACTGTCCTTTCTTCACTTATACCCTTTTTCCCCATCGAAAATTATAAAGTTGAATTGGCAGCTCTCAGAATATTATAAACCCAAACTTCTACATTAGACTGTTTTAGTTTTAGATGGGTTTTTGATTTTGATTTTGCAGCTGAGTTTATACATTATTTTTTTTAACCAGTTCTGTGTTTTCTCTCCCCAGGTGTGGGTCTAAGCAGCACGGCCCAGAGCATTCTTAGTCGACCCATGCAGAGGAAACTGGTAACTCTTGTCCACTGCCAGCTGGTGGAGGAGGAGGGCCGTGTGAGAGCCATGAGAGCTGCCCGCTCTCTGGGTGAGAGAACTGTGACTGAGCTCATTTTGCAGCATCAGAATCCACAGCAGCTCTCCTCCAATCTGTGGGCTGCTGTGCGAGCACGTGGATGTCAGTTTCTAGGACCTGGTAGGTTCTTTTCCTTCATCTGCAAAGTAAGACAGAAACAACACTTCTTGACACTCAGTTGTTTATATTTATATTTGTGTTTTACTTTTTTCCCAGCCATGCAGGAGGAAGCTCTAAAGTTGGTCCTTCTTGCTTTGGAGGACGGCTCTGCTCTGTCCAGGAAGGTGTTGGTTCTCTTTGTAGTCCAGAGGCTGGAGCCACGATTTCCACAGGCCTCTAAGACCAGTATAGGCCACGTGGTGCAGCTCCTTTACAGGGCCTCCTGCTTTAAGGTATGTCCCTTACTCAGAACCAGAAAACATTCCTCCAAAATTTTAAGATTCTTACAAATGGTGTACTAAATGTGGTGCTGCTGTCCAAGGCTCAGTTCAAGAGCAACACTTACCTCAGTTTCACCCTAAGCTGCTTTGTTTTAAGTTTATTTAGCCAAGTAGAAATATTACATTATCTGTCAGTCATCAAGAAGTCATCAAAAATGTATCTGCAAAAGGTGCGACTTACCTTCTATTCTATGCCTTCGTAGGTAACCAAACGTGATGAAGATTCATCCCTGATGCAGTTGAAAGAGGAGTTCCGTACTTATGAGGCATTGCGGCGCGAACATGACTCTCAGATAGTTCAGATAGCCATGGAGGGTGGTCTGCGTATTGCTCCTGACCAGTGGTCATCTCTGTTATATGGAGATCAATCTCACAAGTCACACATGCAGTCTATCATTGATAAGGTGTGTAAGGTTTTTTTTTATTTTATGTGCATATTTTTTACATCATATATTTATATTGTGAAAGTTCTCTGACATGTAAGCATGTTCTGCATGGGGATCCTTTCTTGTATAAACCAACTTGAGCATTTATGCCCTACCCTATGTTCTTCTACTTTCAATATAGCTGCAGACCCCGGCTTCTTTTGCTCAGAGTGTTCAAGAACTGACGATTGCGCTGCAGAGGACCGGAGACCCAGCCAACCTCAACAGGCTGCGACCCCACCTGGAGCTACTGGCCAACATTGATCCCAGTCCTGGTAGGGAACAATCTTTGTTTGAATCTTTGTTTTGGGAGCCCAATAGCCTAGCGGATATGTTGCTTGGGCCTGTGTGAACATTTTATTAAATAAATGTCTCATTCATTAGACGCTTAGGCACAACCCACACATACCCAACCCTTTAGACTTAGAAGCGCCATCAATCAAAACATTGTGATAAAGCCTGTATTCTCATATCTCTATTTGTTTCCAAAGATGCCCCCCCTCCAACTTGGGAGCAGCTTGAGAAGGGGTTGGTAGCAGTGAAAACAGTGGTGCATGGCCTGGTGGACTTCATCCAGAACCACAGCAAGAAAGGAGCCGACCCTCAACAGGTCAGTCCGTTCAATCACAAACAGAGATTTGCAGCTGATTTTTTTCCCCCCACCCCTTGTTTGTTGCTTCATTATTACAGTGTCATAATATAATATCATGTAATTTGTCTAAGAAGATTGTCTCTCCTTATCCGATTCAATTATCCAGAGCTACAATCAGATTCAGTAAAATACGTGTGATTTGATCTGATCAGATACAAATTGATAATTGAATCAAAAGTAGTTTTTCTAGCCATTACTTTTTGAATTATAGCCAGTGTGTCATTTCAAAATAACAACCTTGTGTTTATACATTTTCCAAGAGACAAGTGAATATGCCTATTGTGCAAACAACTATTCTGACATTGTGTATATTATGTGAAGTCCTACTTACAAACCCATGCCCAGATTTATCACTTTGACAGGTAGTTGGGGTATTGAACTACATTTTGTTACTTACACTGAAATCTTAGCTCTTCTGTACATCTCACTTTGTGGGCTTTGTAAAGCTCTGGACACTCTAAAACAAAGTAATGAATTCACCCAAGAGGCAACAGTTAACTACAAGGAATGATATAATGAAAACAATTCAAGACATCATTTTTTTATTTTACAATTTCTATGAATTGCATGTGACGTTCAGGCATCGGCTGTGACTGACACTCACTCTACTTTAGACACTTCTTTCAATGTTTTTAAATGATAAGCATATCTGGTATGCTCTTGGGAAAATGTGGTATTGGTATTTTATGAACTAGACTCAAATGTATTTACCATGTCACGAAACCATCACTTCCAACTACACCGTTAGTTTGTAAACCTTTGCCATACAATGGGCGAATATACTTAGGTGAGAAAGTTTTTGATATAAGGGTCTGCTTGGGCTTATTCATATTAAGTCCAAATTATTTAATTTGAGTGTGGAGAGTTGTAAATTGCTGTGGCAATGTTGGACGTTGTTGTTTTCTCCTTGTAAGCTAACTTGTGCTAACTGGCGAGCCCCCTAAGCTCACGTTACTCTTGTAAGAGTTAAAAGGCCAAACTCGAAGTGTCGCCAGATTAAAGATGCTAAACATAGCATGCAGGATAGGAAAGTAAACCTCTGTTCATAACTTTTAAACCAGGATTCGGATTAGGAAAAACTGTTAAGATCGGTTGCTGATTCAGATTGGTATATCTTTACACCACTAGCAGAATGTTTTTCTTTTCTACAGAAGAATGTTAATTTACAATTGAAGGGTTTCTTAAGGTTTGTGTTGCACTTTCACCTCAATAAAACAATTTGTTGTTTTCTTTCAATTTATCAACTCATCTTTTCCTAACTAACTGTCATGTTTAATATCACTAATATTGAAAGTTCAACTCTGTTTGTTTTTTTGTAGAGCCAAATTGTTAAACAGGGTTTTACCATATGAGCACAAGAGACCATATGTTTTCCATTAAAATATTTTGTACCTTTCTTCAGCCTCCACAGCACAGCAAGTACAAGACTTACATGTGTCGCGACATGAAGCAAAAGGGCGGCTGTCCTCGGGGGGCCAGCTGCACCTTTGCTCACTCTCAGGAAGAACTGGAGAAGTGAGTCTGACATATATTTGTTGATGGCCTTTAAATCAGATATTCTATTCAAAACGCAGTTTTAAAGTGCCCTTCATCTCTGACACATTTTGTATCATGTTTTATGTACTTAAGGTATCGTAAAATGAACAAACGTCTGGCAGCTCGCCTTCCTGGCTCAGGAGGGCTCATGCCAGATGATGGCCTTCCTCTTGATGTAGCAGTGACCCGGAAGCCTTCACCACTCACCAACGGCAGTGGTGTAAACTCTTTGCCCCAGCTCATTCCCCGTGGCACCGACTCAGTCCCATATGAGCTACTGCGTAAACCCATGAAGATGGATGGAGGCAGTCCCAGTGCCCCAGGGTCCCCACCTGACCCGTGAGTATAGCATTCTGTGTTCATCAAATTAAGTGGCAGTAAGAAAAAGGTATCCTAGGTTTATGTAATTACACTGTGATGGAAACCAACTCATTGCATTGTGTTCTTTTTTCTAGTTTAATTCTGACCCTGGGAGATCTTTTAATAGAGAAACGATAGGTAGATCCTGAAATTAACATGTCATTAGCACTATACAAGCTCAAGTCCATTTACTATTTTGAACCAAAAAATAATATTCCAATAAAAAGTTTAAGGGAAAGAATATTTATTTCACTTGTACCTAAAGCTGTCTTGCTAACACCATCAGCACCACCAGGTGTAGTCTTCAGCTTTAAGTGCAAGACTAAGAAATAAGATTAGTTCTGCATGTTTAATCTAGCATTTTCACCCTTTAGCATGGACGCTGTAACCAAAACCGGCATGCCTCTGCCACCTCATGCCATGGCCCATCAAAGGATGCAAGCAGACCACCTCTCTGGGGTAAAGCACATGCCTGTACCTAGAGGTCTTCCTGTGTACCCCCAACAACAGCTCCAAGAGATATGCTATGACGCTCGTCCTCCACCCTCTGCTTCTCAGTATGAGCCTGCACAGTATGCCACAGGTAGGGGTCAGTACACTTATAATGCACTGTTTGATTTGTGTGTGACTGATGAAAAGTGAGTGATTAATTTCCACATATTAATGGTTTAGGGATGTGTCATTAATTATATTTTTCTATAATTATTTCCCAGGGTACCCCTACCAACAGCCACCCCCGTATGGCTCTCGGATTACATTCGTAACCCTCCTCCCCCGAGTGAGTCAGGACCCCCTTACCAAGACCCTTATACTGGCTACGGCCATCCAGAGCGCCCCTACCAGGCCCCTCACTCTGGTCCACCCTTCTCCTACCCTCACCCCCCTCACCATGACCGAGGTCGCCACGGGGCATATGCAGGCCCACCACCTCCCCCACAGCCTTACCCATCTCAGAGGGATAGTCTGGTCAGAATGAGTCCTGCTCCTCTGGATGTTCCACCACAGTCAGCTGGGCAGACCAACTCGCTTTACCACCAGGAGCCTAGTGGCCGGGATAGATACCACCCAGATGGTTACTATCCACCAGGAGCTCAGCATCCTCCCATGAGGGCTTACGTCAGGGTGAGTCTGTTTGACCTGTTCCTCACTTTGCCCCTCATGCTTTGTGTGGTCTTCTGAGTTTCAAAATACATTCTAGCAGTCAAGAGGAAACATTTCTGTGTGTGTCTCAGGGGCCATCGTATAGTGGTTCACAGCCGAGCCTGGACTACCTGCACAGACGTCGGCAGGAGCTGATATCCCAGCTTGAGGAAAGAAAGGTCATCTCCCCTCCGCCATTTGCTGCCTCTCCCACTCTTCCTCATCCCTTTCCTAGTGACTACCCTCCAGATGTAAGCTCTATGAGAATTTAAACTTTCTTCAATTTTTACAAATCATACAATTGCATTACACTCTATCCGAACATGTTAGTATGAGCTTACATTAAAACTTCTTTTTGTATTTTCTATGTTCCGTATACAGTATGGCGAGGAGAGCTCTAAAACAATGATGACAATGAAGTGCAGGGAGCCTGACTATGCAGGGCAGTATTCTCCCTGGTCTTGTGAAACCATTGGCTCCTACATTGGCACTAAGGACCCAAAACCCAAAGACGTTATGGTTCCGGGTTCCATGGAGATGATGGTGAGTCCTAATGGATACTTCCGTTAATAAACATCCCCATTTTAGAGGGAAAATATCGCTACTTTGTCAGCTGTGTGTGAATGCATGTGAATGGAGTACTTCTACATAAAGTTATCAGGCACTTCACGTAGCAGCCTCTATAATCAGTGTGTAAATGTATGAAAGTACATGTAGTGTTAAAGCACATTGAGTTTTAGAAGACTAGAAAAGCACTCCACAAGTCCATTCTTTCTCCTCCTGTTTGCCAGAATGTGGAGGCGAAGGGTCTGAGGGAACCATCGCTCGAGGCGCCACGCAGGGGTACAGAAGTCAAGGATGATGACCCTATTATCCCTTTTGGCCCCCAGCCCACCGTATCACGCTTCGGTGCCATTTCCCGCACCTCAAAGACGGGGTACCAGACCGCAGGCCCTGTGCAGGCTATGGCCTCCACTCCTCAGAATTCAAACTCTAAACATATGGCCATGTCAGGTAAGAAAACATGCGCAGAACAACAGTAATGAGTGTCAAAAAAGAAAGTGCATTTGTATCTTTTGGCTTTTATTGCCTTATACTGGAAGTACAAGGTGTTCTGTTCACATTACTGGGGTTTAACCATTCAGCTTTTAATTGACAGTATTTCTCACCACTTTTTTACCACCTCACCTACAGCAGAATACACATATGGAAGCCAAGGAGGATGGGCTGGAGCTTCATACCCCTCCCACCAGGCTGCCTCCTCGTCTCAGGGACATTTTAGCGAGCGGTGGGCCCTACTTTAATTCATTCCTGTCATTTTCTAAGTATTTATATGATGACGATGCTAATAAGGTTTTCAGTGAAATATCAGAAAAAAAGATGAGAATGATCCAAGTTGTACTAATTTCTTGCTGTATTTCATCCTAAAAGCCTACCAATGGCAGCGACAGACAGAGAACAGTTAAAGATTGAGCTGCAGCAGGTCAACCAGCAGATCAACCAACAGACTCAAATGAGAAGCATAGAGGTGAGTAAGCTCCAGAACATTGATCATCTACTGGCAGCCCACGGGCCACATCTGGTCCTCCATAGCTTCCCATCTGGTCCCCAGAATATATTTCAATTCAGAAAATGTGAGGAGGAAAAAATACGTTGCGGTATGTAGGGTATCTTTTTAAGATTCATATAGCTACGAATAAGTTGTTTTTTCGCATGTTGTTTAACATTTGTTTTTGTTAATCTTTTAAACAAACTAATCAGTCAAAAAAAGAAAAGAGGAAACAGCATGGTAAATGCTCGTCTTGCGATTGCAGGCCTTATGACATCAGAAATCAAATATCTACATATCCAATAAAACGTGGAGAAGTCCAGACCTGTGATTAAACAATAAACATCAAAATCAAATCAAAAGGCTGAAATACCTGTATTAGGTCAATGGGAGAAATTGAATTTCCCTTCTTACACCACACACTGTATACTTCTTCACATCAGGCTTGACAGCTATGTGCAAGCATATTTTAAAGTCTGGCCCCCACAGTGTCTGTTTGAAACAAATTGGCCCTAGAACTATGATGGTCTGGAACTACCTGCATTTATAGTCCTACTATCATTGCATATGGTACCTGATGATGTAAATGAAAAAATCAGTTCAAAGCTGTGACTTCTCACTTTTAAAATAAAGTTTTTTCATTATATGCTGTATTAATTAATGCCTGACATTCCTGAATTGCACACTCATCCTCTTTACCTTCTGTGTTATCACACAGGCTGCCAATAACCCTTTACTGCTGCAGAGGGATGCCAGTGGATTAGCAGGCCAGCCTGTGCAGCCCGGCCAGGGCCAGGGAGTAGCAGCTCAGCAACAGCCTAAGTGGCCAGCAGGGGGAGCAAGTTCAACATCTGTCTCCAGTGAACAGTTGAGCATGGAGCTCCACCAAGTGGAAAGAGAGATTGGCAAGAGGACTCGAGAAATGGCTCTGGTGAGGAGTGGTGAACTGTTAAGCAATGGATGTAACAGTTATTTTGTGAATATTGTAAGTTAGGGATGGGGCATTGACATTATGGTGCTATGATTGGAGGAGGGGACATTCAAGGAAAGCCAGGCTATAACAAATGGATTTTAAGTCGTGAATTACAAAACCATCACTGGAAAATATAGAAGACAATAGAGATAATTTTTTCCTTTTTAATATTTATTTTTGGGCTTTTTGTACCTTTTTTAATAGAGAGGTAGGATAGTGATAGAGTTGGAAATCAGGGAGAGAGAGTAGGGAATGACATGCGGGAAAGGAGCCACAGGCTGGATTCGAACCTGGGCCACCCGTGTTGAGGTCTATAGCCTCCATACATGGGGCGCGCGCAATAACCACTGCACCACCAGCGCCCAATCAATAGAGATTCTTGTGCCATACCGCCATGAGATCATGTATGCATAAAACAAAAACGGCTGTAATGAGTCTTCAAGGGACACTGATTTTTTTTTTTTTTTTTTTTTTTTTGTCCATCTCAAATTCAGGAAAACCAAGTAGCCCATGATGTTCAGCAGTACAAGATGAAACCTGCAGAAAATGGACAACCAGAGCACAAAGCTCAGCTGGAAGAAATCTCCCTGGCTCTTGGGTGGGTATAACATGCTTGGACATAAAAATGTGTTTATGCCTTAGATAATATATTTTATGTGTTTCATTATTAACCTGATCAAATTCCAACATTCTGTGTTTTTTTTCTCTCTCCTTTATTCAGCGAGGTTTCAAACGGATCCAGCAGTCTGCAAGAAAGTGCAGTGGGCGGGTCCATGCTGTCACTGACCAGTAAGACGTCTGCGTTGAGCCTGTGTTCTGATCCAGGTGCCACTGGTTCAGAGATGCAGAAGAATGGCGTTGTCCATTCCTGCTCCTAGGCAGTTCACACTTCGACACACACATACACACACAGACAGAAACACACACAAGATGCTCATTTTAAAAGCATGCACAGGCACACATACACCCATTCTATTTAGAAGATGAGCAGTATCTGCCGTGATATGAATTTTCTTTCTTTTTGTTCTGTGAATGAGCTTTTTTTAATAACTTTCCTTGCCTGGAAACCAGGGCATATGGTAACATTTCTCGTGTGTGTTAATTCTTTTTTTTTTTGCACTGGGATTATTGATTAACAAGGCTCACAATAGTTATATCAGAAAGAGAAAATGGTGGTGATGTTGACAATGGTTTTGTACTTCATTATAAAAAAACAGGCATATTATATCCTCAACAAAATACATGTCCAGGTATGTTATTGATCCTCCCCTATAGATATTTCTGGTTTTGTTATAGCAGTATACATCAATGAACGGTTAAACACGGAGGAGCACATAAGAAGCACTATTACATCTCATGCACTCTGAGGAACTTCTTTATTGCAATCTGACGATCCAAGAAGGTATTACAGAAAACATCAGAAGTGTTGTCACTTGGTTATCACCCCCAGGATTGTAAAAAGTGGTCGCCCAGATTGAGATAGTCTGAGGAGGGAAAAAGCAGCAAAATACCGCACAAGTATTCAGCTGAAATTGAGATGCAAGAGCTTTTAGAAATCACTTTTGCACCACATGCACGTTCTCACCTGCCACGAGAAGTCTGATTTTATTAGTGCATTTTATGAACACATCATATGTCTGTTTCATACTTGAAATCAGTATATTATATATTTAATTGAAGCATTCTGTTTTAAAGATTGCAAAAAGTCTTTTTGATAATGAGCTTTCCACATGTTTTCTATAAGGGAATCTACTTACTATGGTGCTTCTCTTGGTTGTCGTGTGACCTGATGTGGTTGGTTGCAATGCCTTTCACCTGTGCTCTTTAGGGCTGCATTCAGTCCCACCTGATTGTGTTAGAAAAGCTCAAATAGGCATGTGAGTTTTTTGTAGACTGAGTGTACATGTTCAGGCTGAGAGAGTACTTCTTTCCGCCTCAGGAGCAAGGTAACTCGATATACTTTTTAACATCAGCGTAACTGAAAGATTTCCCTCCTCAGAACTTCTCATCTGGCCACACAAAAGGCCTCCCCATTGGGATTATCTTGTCATTTGTTTTCCTAACTTCTATGAAGTTGCCTTCCCTTGTGATCTTTTTTAATTTTGTTGAATTTTTCATGCTTTACGTTGTTACAATTCTGGGGGGTGACCTACCTAGTAAAGGCTTAATAGAGTTGAGTTGATTGATGGTTCTCTCTGTTATTAAATGGTTGACTACCGAGTAAAAGCCGACGTATCATCTGTGACCTTAGAAAGGTTACCGTTGTAGGGTTTTTAGCCATACATTGCTTTTGAAATCATGTTTACAGCTGTGGATAATATAAGTGTTGGTAACTGAGGGCTAGATAAAACAAGCTATCGACAACGAGCAGATTTCAGTAAACCCCTGCATCTTTGTTTGAGTCAAATATTATATTTCCCATTAAAAGCCAGTCCCTTTTATCAGCTGGTTGTTTCGGTATATTTGATGTAAGACAGGTAGGCATGACCTTGTTGTTTTTTTTCAGCTTTCACTCAAACGCCACACATTACATTTACTGATCAGCCTGGGAAATGATTAGAACCTGGATGAAAAAAATCTTGAGAAGCAGCAGCAAAACACTTAAACATTCAAGCTGAACTTAAACATCTCTCTCTCTCTCTCTTTTGTTGTCCTGGGCTCGCTGTCTTGCCAAAGCAAGATCACATTAGTGATCAGTTATTTAATCTGGTAACTGCCTGATTTGTATCCACGTCATTATTTTCTGTTCTAAACCAAAAAAATGTATACTTTTTCTATCTTTCCTGTATGAAAGGCCTGTCTCGTATGCGTGTCCCAAAATAAAGGCAGGGTGATTTCAAACGCTAAAGTAAATGGAAACCCTGGCTATTTTTTAAAGTGTTACTGTAGTCTTGTCATACCTAGTTGTCATCATCACCACCATTACCATTACTATTGCTCTTTCTCCGTCATGTACTGTTTACTGCTGACGCTCAAAAGTGAGCTCTTTGCCTTTTGTAAACAATTAGCATGATTGGCTTCACTTTTACAGCTCTGCTCAGAGTGAGTGAGTCCCTGCGTTTGAACGGTTAAAGGATAGTGGAGACGCTCTGCTTTTTAAGTGAATGTTTAGCCTTTGTTTTGGTCAGATACGGGGTACTGAAAAACGAACCGTTTTAAAGATCCTTGATAAGAGCTGAGTCAAATAATTGGAGACACAAATGTTTGTTGTGTCTGACATCCTCGTCTGGCTTGTTAAAAAGGGCATCTCTTCCTATTTGTCAGCGCCATAATAGTGGAATTTTTTGGGTTTTTTCTTCATTTCAAATTTTCCCACCACACTTCAAGCCTTTGGCTGCTCCGCGCTACATTTATTGTCTAGGTACACAGCTCACTTATACATATAAGTATGTATACATACATTAATATACTAAAGCACTATTAATGTGCCACCTCTTATTTTACTCGCTCAGCATTTATATTAAATGATCTCTACTTAGAATCAGCAATGTTTTTTTTTGTTTTCTGTCCACTGGTTGCCAACACAGACTTTATCCTTTCCCAGATGAAGGACTTCTGTGCGCATTGATGTGTGTTCACTTAATCTTTTGTGTTCAAACAAAGATGTTCTTTATAGACTATGCTTCCGAAGAAGATAAAATTCTGTACCTTTGGAAACTTATGGAGACGTTTTGTGTGTGCTAGATTGTATTGTAGAAATGTACCCTAAGTTTTTTTTTTTTGTTTCTGTTTTTTTTTTTCCCTCAAAGTGTGCTGTATTGGGTGATAGTGTTCAGCTATTAGAAAATTGTTTGGGGGGATGTTTCTCACCCATGCCCCCAAGAGGATATTCAGGAAGTCTTTGATAAAAGCTTGGCCTTAAATCCTCTTTACTGCTCCTCTTCCTTGTCTTGCTGTAGGAGAATGAGCTCTCAAAAATAGAAACAACGCTGAATTGGCATGATCTGAAGTGATCAAATGACCCCTAGTGGATTCTCCCTCCTTTTTCATATAAAACAGCAACAACACAATGATGCAAATCTCTGACCATTCGACGCTAAATTTATATTTGTATTTGTTAAGGATATGTTGTTGACCTAGCTGCGTTTGTAGTTTTATCTTTCTCTCTTTTTGTTTCTTTATTTCCGCAATAGTTGAGTGAATTTACTGACCTGCAAGTCTTACAGTCTTTAATGCATCACCTGACCTGATGTGCGGTCAACAGCTAGACAAGTATTCAAGTGACATTCACACGACTTTTTTTTTTTTCTAATGACAGCTATTCACAAAATTGTCCCTAAAATCGTAATTCTGTTGTTATAATTCTATGAATGAGCAACATTTAATTGTGTTAATTCAATGTTTCTTTTAACTCTGAGTGCAAGTCAACCAAAAGTTTCACAAGGCTAGTTCTACCTGAAAGGTCACTGCAGGTCTGAATGGGCTGAAATTGCATTTAGCTTAGCAGAGCTTACATACAGTAACTGAGGGGGGGATTTACTGTACAGTAAATAGCAAAGATTTTCATTTTAATCTCTTGCGTGTTTTTGTTTCTGAGTGGAACTGCAGCCTCTAGCCCTCATTTCTATAACCATTTAACCCCTCCACTCCCACCATTGACCACTGAACTCTGTTACTGCTGTTTGAGGCTCACATTTTATTCCTTGACTTTCTGGGGAAATCGCAAATGGCTATTTTATATGATTACTCCCTTGTAAAATATCTCTTAAATTAAGGTACAGGTTTGATTTCAGCAAGAAAAAAAGAGGTTTTTATATGTATATTATACTCCATTAAGGAATGTCTAGAATTATCTTCCTCCAATGTGGATGTAGCCATTATTACGCCATTTTATGACTTTGTAAGAGAATTCACTGTGTGAAAATTGGTTTGCATTTTTGTATAATACAATCTGCTTTTTTTTTCGTTTGATACGAGAGGGAGGTCAAACTGGAAGTTTGAAGAGAGAAAAAAATGAACCTGTGAAATTGAGAAAACAAAGTGTAACTTATGTAAAACAGTGATCCTAAGCTGAGGGGAAAGATTAAATGATATTGCTAACTCAGAACGTTTGTGCCGTTTTTATTTTTAAAAGTCACCCATTTAAAATGTGACCTCAGTTTTGTTCATTGCTTCTTTCTTTTCCTGTCCTCGAGCCACCCAGCAGTCAATCAGAAGCTGTAACTGCTTTTCTATATTTATACATGTACAGTTTGTACTCTCTGCTGAAGGGACTCTCTCAATCTATTGAAGAACAAAAGATGTAATGTGATGGGAAAGTGCTGTATAATGGAAGTTGACTTAAAAATTAAGCTTTTTATGGAAAGCCAAAAGGATTATACTTAGTCCCTATTGTCATTTGATATGCAACCGCTGCACTCTTTTCTCTTTTAAGCATTTGGTGATTAAAGGTTCAGATATGTTTGAATGTGAAAACAAACACAGGAGAGCTCAAAATCAAACCTCACCAGCAGGTGTTTAAGAAACACTGGTTGGCATGAATGAAATGCCCTGAAACAGAAAAGATGCAGCAAGAGAGATAAACTCTGGCTTAGTTAAGTTCCATGAAGTGTCTTCTATCACTGCCACAAAGAACAGTAACACAACATTCCTGTGTCTTCTGTGTTACATGATTGTTCCACTGACAGCTCACCTGAAAGTGTTGGCTATGCTGCACAAACCTGGAGTGACTGATTTATCAGTCATGATAAATCAGTCACTCCAGGGTCACTTTGTGGTCTGCTCCTTAACTATTGGTTGAGTTATTGATAAGGCAGTTAACAAGTGTGAGAAGTTTAGGTCAATCACTTTGAATACTTCTACCACTGTGTCATGATCAGGAACTTATTATTAAATATATCCCAACACCAGACCTTTTTATATAGAAGCCTTTAGTGGACATGCACCCTTATTTATCATTTTATTTACCGGTACACCATTTTCCTGTAATACATATTTGTTCATTTGATTTATTCTGCTTCTCTTGGTTTTCCCATGTTAACAAAGTTTGTTTATATCATTCATAATGGATGAATTTATAGCATTATGTCAATATAACAAGGCTTGTTTTCTGGTCACTTCTGGATAACTTTCTGGCATTCTAGTACAAAAAGCAGTGGTCCAGTCTGTGTGAGAGGACAAATCATGACATGATGTTCTACTGTTGCTCACACCAGAGGTAAGTTTGTACTTTTTCAACTTTGGGGAAACAGGAAAAAAAATGCAAATATCACAGGAAAAAACAATTACTTGTAAAATGAATGGATGCTTGTCCACACATAAAACACACGGGTCATTTGCGTCAACACTTATTTTATTTCAAAATTAATGAAAACATTACATTTATATTTCTGTGTGTAAATATGACACAATTGCTGCTAAATTATTTGTGCAACAAATATGACTTTTTCACATTAGTTGGATCGAAGGACACATGTCTCCCATCATGCAACATTTTCATGGCCTCCATGCTCGTTATAAGTACAAATCTGAAAGGTATGTGATGTAATCATTTGAGTATTTGAGTACGGTAATGTTTATTTACCTGACAGTTCTCTACCACACGCTCTCTTTTGGTAGACTTTGGTATTGTAAAGGCTCCATAAAATAATGAGTTTATTTTAATATCATTACATTTCCAGCTGGTCTATTCTGGTTATGGTAACATACATCTATCATAACCTCTCTGATTTCAGACCAGGGCTGTATATATCATTTTGCCTTTTTATACAAAGGTCATGCATCAGGTACTTACCTGATTGACATGTGGCACCACAGTGCAGTTCTGCTTTAACTCTTCCAGGTGGTGAATCATAAAATTGCTTACCCCAATGGAACAACATAACCCTGCTCCAAAAGGAAGAGTTCATCAAAGATAAAAAAAAATAATATGTCACATCATGTAATATGCTTATTTCAACCAAGAACTCCACGGCATGAGAAGCATACAAAAAAAATACATTTTCACAAATCCAAGTGAAGACATTTTTTGATGTATTTCCTTGGGGTTTTTCCACTGAACAAGTCTTTCTGGGTCTTAGATGTTTATTCATTTATTTGTACGTTTATTTAATTGACCGAACAATACCATTTGTTGTTGGTATAGTCCTTAACTCAACAGGTTTCTCTCTCAGAGGCTTTCAAATGCTTTATTTAGAGAAGTACATATTCTTCATCTTTCTCTTGTCTCGCTTGAGTTCTTAAAATCATTATTGGTTTGGATTGATAGATAGGCACTCTGTTTTTAATTCATAGAGAAGAACACAATGACAACCGTGCTTGTTGGTTTTGGCTGTATGGTTCACCTTGCTGTCTGGTTCTTATGCTTTGCTCTATCATGTAAGCTTTTGCTTTCATGTCAAAGCACTTTGTAAACCCTTTCTATAATGTGCTATATCAATAAAGTTATCACATTACATCAATATGTTATCTTTTATTGGTCTATATGTTATCTTATACGAGTTATTAAACAGCTTCAAAGAACCTAACTGAATGTTGCAAGATCATTACCATAATGTATTTAAAGCAAGCAGCTTTACAACAAACGTGAGAACTCTCTCTACTCCATTTAGGTTTTTTGTATGACATTTCTCAACAGCCTTTGTACCAGTGAGACAGTATCAGCAAAAATGAAAGCCTGTCTTTAGTCTCAGTAGTTCTTCATGGACTCTTTAAGGGTCAGGGGGTTAGTGGTACTTAAAGGGGGTGAAACCAGGAGTATCTGGAAAGTTCTACTTTAAGTGATAACACAGTTTGGACTTGTCAAGGGTGTTTGTTTTTTTCCTAAAGCAGCATGTTGTCAGCATGTTTAGCTCACCCTTATGGTTGTTATTGGGAAATGTCTGAATTGGAAGGGTTGAAAGGGATGTAGACCTAAAAAAATGTAAGCTCCTTAGAAAGCTAAGGTGACACTGTAAGATAACTTGATAGTCTGGACCGCTTCATCAGAGTTTCAGACTGTCCAATAGGCCTTAAAAAAGCAAATCTATAGAAACATGTAAATTGTGTAATGCTATGAATCAGGGAATCCAGAAAACAGGAAAGAGTTCATGACCCAATCTCACAACCTGCAACATTTTTTAGATTCAGCAAAATGTTTTTTTGTATTATTGTTGTTTGTTATAATTAGTTTTCTGGAATTAAAAAAAAAAGATATTTTTTCTTAAGTAAGCCACTCTTTGTATGTGTCCTTATAGATGAGGTAACTTCAAATCCCAGCATGCCCTATTTCTTGACTTGATGTGAAACACAAAACAAACAAACGTATGAACGAATTAAAGATTTATTTTTGGGCTTTTTGTGCCTTTAATGGATAGATAGGACAGTGGATAGAGTCAGAAATCAGGGAGAGAGAGCGGGGAATGACATGCAGGAGAGAGGCCACAGGTGGGATGTGAACCCGGGCCGCCCGCTGGAGACGACAGCCTCCATACATGGGGCGCGCGCACTAACCACTGGCCACCACCAGCGCCCCCGAATGAACTAATTAAACTATTAAAAAAAAAAAATAATGAGACGAACGTAAATGACGAGAGCAACACAGAACATTATAAACACTGGTAGATGATAACCACTTCATTTAATATACAATAATATGCAAATCATAATTTATTATAAAATGATTATTCACTCTGCAAATAACAATAATGACATCAGATTCCATCAAATAAGAAACAGCAAGAGCTGTTTATGATCATTTCAGGCAGAGAATCACTGCCAAACATTTACTACAGATTCTTTCCCGTCATGTTTCAGAACAGTAAAAATCTATTGCAGCTATAATTACTTAATGTGTTCCTCCTCATACAGACCGGGCAGTTGGTAAGGATGAGCTAAAGATACATATTGTCTCTTTGTTCCAGAAAACAATGCTTGATTCTTAAATAGAGTTAATACACCTGTCTTCAGTACAGCCATTCCCCCGTGTACACAGTGTAGCTACAACACTCCTCCAGCTGATTATTCATGTCTTCTTGTTAGCATTAGCTGCCTTCTAGTGTTTTCCCATATAGCCTCTTTTCCTTTAGAACTATATTCTTGTGTACATCACTCTGCCACCATTGTATTTTGCATTTCTGGTTACACGCTGCGTTTTGTTGTTTCAGTATCTATATTATTAGCAAACATGTCCAATCTAAATCAAATGTATTCTAAATCTAGATCTTATTCTGTTACTCCACATTTGTTGGATCCCAGGTGACGTGTCTCTCATCGTGAAGTCCTCCCAGAGCAGCCATGTCCGAATCGTCCAGTCGGAAATCAAACACCTGCAGGATGTGTGACAAGAGAAAGAGAAATATGAGAGAGCAGAAAGGTAGAGGAGGGGGAGGTCACAAGTAACATGGCTGTGACATTACATATAATAAGTGAAAAATGTCTGACTGCCTATACTCTCCTTAGAGAGACCTAGAGTGGATTACTGGTAATCATAAAAAAAACATTTTAGCTCTGTATTAAAAAGTATCCTAATAATCAGCTGGATTATTTAACATTCACATGAAGACGACATTATAACTGCAGTGGAAATGACAGTAATGATTCTTTATTGTTTGTCTTTTGTGGCTGTTTCTGTGACTGGTAGCAAATTTACAAAATGTGCTCAGTTTCATGACTTATATTGGCACATTTATTGACATAAGTTATTAAGAATCCAAAGTGCGCTAATCAGATGTGACAAACCTTTTATTGTCATTTCTAGCTAACATTACTTTCACACTTCATTTCATTTGAGGCCTACACTACAGCATCCTGTCTCTAAAAGTTACGTTTAGTTAGCGAAGACAAATGTGTTTATTTGTTCTTTGATTTGGTTAACCTTTTGCATTACTTCTGATATTTGTTAAATGTATGCTGTAAATGTTTCTTTATCTCTGTATTACCTTCACCTAATCATTTCTCTATTTAAAAAGGTCAGTGTGCAAAATACTGTATAACTTATTTCCAACTCACTTGACTGTTTTCTTCTACCCTCTTCCTTTTGGTGGATTTTGGTATTGTGACCACTCCATTCTAAAAGGAAAATGGAGCTTGTTATTGAAAAGAAAATAATGAAACATATAGAGGTGTGTGTTCACCGTTTGGCAGGCCACATGAGAACAATGCAACAACCTGAATACTCCAGCGGATGCAGATCTGAGCAGGTGTGCGTCTGTACTTTTCTGCTATGCGGAGAACAGTCGGGTCACTGAGAACTTGACCCTTAGCCAGAGGACTGTAGCCTTCAAACACTATTCCCTCTTGACGACAGTAATCTATCAGTTTATTGGGCTGCTGGAATGGATGGTACTCCACCTGATTGGGCAGACAATTTAAAGACGAAACATCACGGACATGTTAGTGCATAAACGATCAAAATATTTGTGGTATGACGCATGTCAGAAAGGAGTAGAATTTCCAGGGTAATGACGGTTAAACATGTTTCTCATTCAGTTAGAAAATAACTTTCCTGTTTTTATATGAACTGCACTGTATAAAAAACAGGCATGATGATAAAAAATCAATCTGGGCTGAGAAAATGTTTAATGACCCTTCAAATACATTTTAATTTAAAATACTATTTCTTTCCCAGCAAAAACTGATCATTACACTTTTGACCCCTCACCAAAGAAATGCTATACAGTCAGTTCATAACTTTATAAGGAAAAGTAGTGGAATATAGTTTTTAATAATCACCAACACAACAAGAATATTTAGTTTATTACCTTTTTTTTCCCTTTCCAACACAAACTTGTCTGTTACTGGTTGTGGCCTGAATTCCTCTTTGGGTGTTTTAGCCTTAGAGACGTTTGTTCTAGTTATAAAGTAACTCTACCTGGTTAACATGTGGCACCACACTACAGTCTTCCTTTAACTGCTCCAGATGGTGTACAAGAAAGTTGCTCACTCCAATGGAACGGCACACCCCTTTAGTGACAAATGGAAAGTTACTCATTGCCTTATAAAGATGATACTTACTTCTGCATTTTGACATGATCGTCCAACGTTTGTACCTTCTTTATAAAGTTCCTCCAATGCTCTCCAGGTCTCAGCTCTCATCTCCCTGTTGGAGCAACCAGGCTGCAATGACTCTGGCCAGTGCATCAGGTACAGATCTGAGAAGAAGGGGAAGTTAAGGATGACGTGAAAAACTACAAAATAAATCCAAGAAACCCGTAGTTTCTAGACAACTTCTTAACCTATCTTTAAAAATCACAATCTGTACCAAAATATTGCACCCCCATCTGTGAGCAGGAGGTGAGGCAGGCTTTCTTTGCAGCTTTGTATCCATAGTCCCCTGGCCACAGTTTATTGGTCAGCCACAGATCACTTCTTGGTATCTTACTGTCACTTATAGCTTTACCAAGTTCCTCCTCACAGCCGTAACGCTTTGCTGTGTCAATGTGACGAATGCCACACTCGGTGAGTGCATACACAATGGCATCATGAGAGTATCCACCATAATGTGATGTGCCTGGAATAGAGACAAATATAGCATAGAGAATTAAAACCCAGTCCGTTTTTAATTCAAATTTTTCTTGTTTTTCAGTAATTGTGTATGCTTTGTTTGTTTTTGAGGGAAGGCATGGTAGAAATTCAGAAAGTACCAAAGCCAATTGGCAAATACCTAGTCAATCATATCAATGATTAAATACATAGGTCTATAATAATTTCATATTCACAAATTCATTAACATATAAAAGTACCATGGAAGGTTACAAGCTACTAGTATTTGAGGGTTTGGGGTGTGCATGCTGGTTGACTTACCCAATCCAAATATTGGAATCTGCAGACCATTGGAAAGTGGGATTGTGGGACAATTCAGGACTTTGACGTACGACATGTTCCCATGTTCCCCAGAGTAGTGAGCAAAGGCCTACACTGAATCTAAAAAAAACAGAAAGGAGTGTAACTATTTAATTCTAGCTCCACTCATTTCTACAGATCATTTGTCTTCTAGTTAGTTACCCGGACCCCCCCAAAGCAATTACTGTTGTTAATACTACTGAAAAAAAATACACACCTCAGATTTTCTGCAAGCGGTATGCACCTCGAGTTCTGCAGCACTATTTGTTAAGAGATTCACACCGTTTTCGATTTTCTCCAGCCAACATTGTTAGCATTTCTGATATAGGCGGAGATGCAGCCTTTGGGAAGTCGGTTTGTGAAGCCCAACCAAGATGGCGCCTGTTGCTGACAGGTACGAAAAAGCTCAAAGAATTGGGGGAAAAAAAGGATGTCCATAAGCGTAAACCATGACGATGACATTACACGTCGTTTAAATTGCGTTTTGCAATACGTTTGTAAGTCACAGTTCGGGTTATAGCTGTTTGTTTTGTTACCATCACCGTGTACTTGCTACTTTATCTAACGTTACCGGTCAACCTGTCACAGCTCCTACTTTTACGCTCTTTGGATACAAATATGGCGGCCACGTTGAAGGAAACTTTGTAGTGCCCAAAATGAGGTAAGTTTGAAGTTATCACAAGAAATCACGTAAATTATGCTAAATGCACAGAAGTGGCTCAGAGTGAGGAAGTTGTTGGAAGATAATATTTGAGGCAATAGATAGCGATTCTGAATGTCTCTGTGTCTCTAAAAGTTTAACGACACTGACTGTAAAAAAAAAAAAAACATTCATTGTTTTTGTTGACAGACTTCTTTACTGCCCTGCAAAGGCAAAAGACCTTAAGTCGCCAGATTGTAGAGCTGAGAAAAATGACTTTAAAGTCTTTTTGTTGTCCAGCCAAATGAGTTGCAGGCAGAATATTGGAAATGTGGCAATTCTTTGTCTTTTAATGAGGTTATTAATGTACATAAAAAAGCTTGATCTTAAACATGACCTTTGACCCTTTTTTGGAAGTTAAGGTACTCTGCCGTTGCATTGCGTGTACAATAATAAGGGGTCATGCCAAGGCAAAAGGCAGTAACTTCTATTTGTTAGCTCCCTTGGTTGCTGATCACTATATTAAATCAGTATATGATAAATAATGATAACATATACAGGAAATCTAGTGATCATGGCACAATTAAGTGCTTGATGACAGATATTAAAACAAAAGCATAACGCCTTAACTCCACTGCAGTAAAACAGTAACTTCACTTTGATCCGCAGCAAAACAAAGGCAGAAGACCTTAACTCAGTTTGAGTGTTCCTGAATGCTGCAGTTCAAAGGCAAAGACCCTGATGAGTGAAGTTACTGGACTCTGCCTTGGTTTCTCCAGGGCTTTTGGAAGTTAAGGCAAATACGACCTACTGTTCCCTCAAAAAAACAACACAATTGACTCAAGATATTTGTCCTCATGATAAAGCACATCTGTAATGTTCCAAAAATGACAAAACTCATTTTCGAGAAAAAAAATTGAAGTTACTGCCTTTTGCATTTGTAGGGCAGAATACAGCTATGCTCAGATGTTAACATTGGAAAGATCGATGTTCCACTATATGGAAACGTTGTGTATGAAAGCCTATATCCGACAATGTTCAACTTTTGTAAAATCATTATGATGAATGAATCCATTTAAAAGTGTTAAGTTAGAGCCATATCTCGACTGGAAGTGGAAACAAAACAGCGTTCGTTGTAATGGGATGATTAAGTGTGTATGCCTACTTCTTTTTATGCAGTTTCCCTCGTTGCTGCATGTGTCCTCGGCGGACCTATTTATTTTGGCCTATCCTGCTGCTTCTCCTGGTCGGTGCAGCCCTGACAGCCCTCCTGCCTTCTCCTGAGGACCAAATAGGCCTGGGTGTCCTTGGAGTGCTACGCCGGGCAACAGCTCAGAACGAGAAACCTGCACAGCTGCAGCATGGTGTCAGCACAGAGGAGGGGCAGAGATTCACCATCATCATTCAAACTTACAACCGCACAGACGTTTTGCTCAAGCTCCTCAACCATTACCAGGCAGTGCCTCATCTTCAACAGATTATCATAGTCTGGAACAACATCGGGAAGCAGACACCGTTGGACTTGTGGAACTCTTTGGGGCCTCATCCAGTCCCTGTGGTCTTTAAGGAGCAAACGAGCAATAAGATGCGCAACAGACTACAGCCTTTCCCCGAGATTGATACTGATGGTCAGCATCCACTCACTTTGAATATGCTCCATGTTAGAGCATTTAAAATGTATCTACACCTAAACGTTTTAACATATTGTCCTTGGTTTGATATTTGCTTTGAATCTCAGCTGTCCTGATGCTGGATGACGACACCCTGATTAGCGTTCCTGACATCAGTTTTGCTTTCTCAGTCTGGAAGGTAATTTAAATTTAAATAATTTTATTTATCAGGGAAGATGCAACCTAACATTGTTTCAATACGAAACATGATGTGCAGAGTTCATAGCTGTAGCTATTTTCCAACTCTTTACTTTCCAAGTAAATAAAGCATTATTATTATTATTGGCTCCACAGCAATTTCAGGACCAGATTGTTGGGTTTGTCCCAAGAAAACACGTCTCAACACCAGGAGGAGTATACAGTTATGGCAGCTTTGAACTGCAGGACCCAGAAACATATGGTGGTGACAAGTGAGTTGTGTTGTTTTTTTAAAGTCCCACATACGGTGTATCTTATTTCCAGCTTGTTTGATTTAATCATACTTTTATGCATAAGGTTTTTACATTCCTTTGAGTCGCTCCGCCTCCACAGATACTCCATGGTGTTAATTGGTGCTGCCTTCTTCCACCACCGCTACCTGCAGCTCTTCCAGGACCAACCTCAAGCGGTACACGCGCTGGTGGATGAAACGCAGAATTGCGACGACATTGTCATGAACTTTGTCGTAGCGCTGCATTTGAGAAAACACTCAAAATCCGAAGGCAGCTTCAGCAAACCCTCTGGGGTCTTTGTCAAACCTGTGGACCTCCGCAACCTGGAGAAGGAGGCCAGCAGCGGGTACCAGGGTATGTGGCATCGCCCAGAACATCTCCTTCAGAGATCCTACTGTCTGAACAGGCTGACGCAGGTCTACGGCTCCATGCCTCTCTGCTTCTCCAACCTGATGGTGTCCCAGTTTGGCTTCCCAAGCTATGCCAACCACAAGAGCAGAAGCTGAGCTGCCACATTGCTGACTGTTTTGGATTGAAAGAAAACTGACCCAGGTTGCAGTCTGGTAAGTCTGTGTTTGATAATCAACATTTCCCCTGGCTAGACATAAGATTAAGTTTATAACCTCACCTGGTGTAAATACATCTGTTTGTTTTATTTAATGCAATGAATCCAGATGAGTCATTCAATATTGCTGTGTCATTAGAGTGCATGCAAAGTTTTCATTTATATGATAAAATTAGTAAATAAAAAAATATTATTACAATAAAATGGCCATCAAAGGAAGACAAAAACAACTTATTGAAGTTAAAAAGTTTGTCTTGGATACATCTTGTTCGTTTTTTTGGTTGACATCTCTAAATGGATGTCAATTCTTCAGCGTCTAAAATGTGTTCTGTTGTTTTTAACCATAGATAGTTTAGGTTGATTTTGTTGTTCCCATGTCTTTGTCCACTCCTGTCTCAGGAAGTATATACAAGAGATGCACATCAGCTTATTCACTGATAGTCACTGACACTTTTCAACCTGGTAATATACTGTAAACACTGTAAGCCCTAAAGATATGTTTCATTAGGTGTCGATACATTAACACAGAAAATATGACAGTAATGTGTTTCTTTTGCTTGTTTGCCACGTGTTTACCTGCTTGTGATTTTTCTTTTCTTTTCTTTCCAGTCTCACCGTGGCATCATTACATTTTCTTACTTGACAACAGCAAGGCTAGTCTGAAGTCCGTCTGTATGGCTAAGTGTGGGGAAGCGTCCCTATCTGAGAAGGTAATCTGTATATTGTTACCAAGGGGACATTAACATGCATCGTTTACAACTCTCTCAGTGGATTGAAGTGCAGTTATTTTATACCTAACAGTAATCCATCTAAGCTCTGCTCGAAGTATTTGCCTTGTTTTTACCTAAGATTTAAAACACTGAGAATGCAGAGTCCATCAATTGAGTTTTTTGTTTTACTACATTTCTAACTTGTTTAAAGAAAGAGTTACATTTGTTGTGAGTTTGTGAAGTTCCTTTAGATTTAGAATAAATGTTGGAAGTTTGTTATGGTTAATATAAGACATTGCAGTGCCAGAAAGAATCTTCACCAATGTGCTGCTGATAATATATTATCCTGTACATTCTATCGATTTATCTAAAATGCAGTACTATGCATGCATAGACAATCAATGCTTTTACCAAAAATGTGTCCTTTTGCCTTGTTTGCACAGTATCACGTTATTCAGTATCACAGTTTTTCTCTGAACAGAATATGTGAATGATTACAATATTGTGATATTTTTCAAATAAAGAACAGATACGGACAAACCGATCAATATACTGAGATGTACTGAATGACTAAACACTCAAGAGATTGTGCCATGTCCAGGTGGGATGGTTTTCTTTCTACTTTTGCAAAATCCGTCATTATATCTGGTGTTTGAAAAAGTGTATTACACTTAGAAGAATTGATTTTAAGTCTATGTTCTTTTGGGTTGACTTCACTGCACAGAAGTTGGCCTCTATGGAAGGGGAGTCCATTCTGTCATAGTCAACACAGTACGGACCAAGATCCCTTCAAAATACTTAGAAATGTAATTACAAATATGAATGCATACTTAAATTTTACTGTTCAAACTCCAGTTTTAATAGCAACATGAAAACAGTCCAATGGACTGTACAGAATCCAGCATCATTTAGTCATTAAATTGTATCAGCACACATCACTTTTTTCCTCTCCAGGCTTCTACAATTTTACAAACAAACCGGAAAAGCCGAAATGAAGGCTTAAGGTTGTGTGTGTAAGGACAGTTCAGAGGTAGGAGAGTGATGATATTTTCATTACTTGGTCTGGAGGTCCTTGCAGGGCAGGAGATGTCACTGTATCAGTCTACATAGTAAACATCTGGATTGATACACAAGGTGTGAGGTCTGAACTGCTCTTAGTTTGAGGTCGCTTCATTCCATCAAATGAGCTTATGCTCATTACCAATCCTCAATGAAAAACTATATTTAATAATATACAATAAAATCCAAATCCTAGGTGGTGCAAAAAATGTCCTTGCATATCCTGAAGTAACTTCAAACCCCGGTTCTTGCACAAAGGGTCAGAGACAACGCAGTCTCATCGTGGTCCTGGTCCAGCACTACCAGCTCCAGGTCCGCCTCTGGATCCACCAAGAGAACGCATGTCATGCCACAGCTTCACAAAAGGCTCCCTTTTCCTCCAGATCAGTTTGTGACCGTATGCCACATACCATCTGTAAGACAAGATACTCTGAGACGGATAACATATACCCTCTGTAGGACAGGAACTTTTAAAACCATGTAATGACAAACCTGACAACAAAAACCTACAAGAATTAATAGTTTGAACAGTCATTATTTCTGGAGCCTTGTTAATTATGGGATATTTCTAGACTGATAGGGATTTTACACATCCAAGAAAAGTTACCCAGAAAGCCTTTCCCTTAAAATAATGCAATGCAAAACTTTTTATGGACTATAAAGCATCACTATACATCATATATATTATTACATTGTCATCCAGCTCTTATGCAACAAACGTTGGCTCAGCCAGTGCAGCAATTTAACTGTGGAGTCAGAGTGCACTCTGTTGGGCAACGCTCACATTTTCATTATTTTATGTCTTGTTAAAAAAAAAAAAAAAAAAGTTCTAATAACCACTCCGCTGAAGGATATGTAGGACTACTGACATACAGTATATGTGACAGGCTTGTATAAGCAGATCACATCGGCTGACCAATATATCTGTCAAGCTTAAATTATTTCAGACAGAGTTATTAAAACCATATTTTATGACATATATAAACACAATATTATTCTCATTCTTAGAAAAACAACAGTTACCAGTACTCACATTCCAAAGAGAGCTCCTCCGAGGTGAGCTGCGTGGTCGAACAGCCGCCATCCAAGCATGAGCCCTGCTGCATCTATGGTAATGAGCGCCTTCAGAGCCTTAAGACAGTTCAATGACAGGAGCCTGAAGTTACACCTACTGTCCTGCACTCAATCAACTATGACTATCTCTCTACCATGCATTCAGACATGCATACTTACACATTCATTCATACACACTTTGTCCGTTTAGTTCATGCACAGATTTACATCTCTGGCCTGCAGCAAAAACACAACATGTGAATGTCAACACATTATTGAATGTATCAATTACCAATATATTTGAATCCACAGCTCACTTCAGAGTGTGCGTGTCTATTAACAAGACGGAACCATGCATACACTAACCTCATGTACACACACATTCTGTGCATTACTTACATTGCCTGCGGTGAAAGTGACCATGGGGAGAAAGATAATGCCCAGTTTGGCCTCTGGCACTTTCGCACAGACTGCGGCCAGTACTGCCATCACAGCACCTGACTATGGATCACATGAAGGACAGATCAAAGGTAAGCTTCATCATGCTTTCTTTTAGCTGCATTGAGATTTAAGCAAACATCTTACCGCTCCTAATGATGGATAGAGACGTCCCGTGGCTGTTTTACACATGTAGCTGACCATAGTAGAAATCACACCTGGAAAAGACGCTATTTAGATTAAGGTTTACTTTCATTGATCCCCGCAAGTCATGCAACACACACATGCACAAACAGGATCCTATGGACATGCACTAATGGAGAGATGGGTTTTTTTTTTTACAGTCAGTCCATAAATTGTATTAATGACATAAAAATATACTTTACAAGCTGGTTTTATTTGTTCTGGTTTTATACAAGCTATAAAAAAATGTGTTGCACTAACACTGTTGAGCAGAATCACTTTGCTTAGCTATTTTAATTGCATTAATATTCATTTAGTCCCAGTCTTCACAATACAGTTGTTTATTTCCTGTGTAACATAAAAGATGGAAAGCCAAACCCAAATATATTCAGACTGAACATTTTGCTTTGGTGGGTTTTAATACTGTTTACATACTGGACTTTTTCTTATTTAAAAAGGTGATCAGACCACAATCCCATTTTTAATCGGACTCACCAGCAGACATGTAGACTGCAAGAAACTGCTCCTTTCCTAAAAGAGATACGATTCCTGAGGAGAATGTCCACAAGACGTACATGTTGGTAGCCATGTGGAAGATGGAGTAGTGACTGAAGGAGGAAAGGATCATGGGAAGGCACTTTGTTTCTGGTCAGACAGAGAGAAATGAAAAGATAAATGACACATATGCTTAGAAGACGCTGGAGAACTTTAAGAGAAATGTGGCCCTTATTGTACTTGGTTAAGCACTTTGTATTGCCCATATATACAAGTAAAAAATGGTGTTAACAACAGGCCTACTCACTGGAAGCTGGGTTGGATGTGAAGTACTTAATCATGCTTCTTTGCATCAACGGTATCCGCCAGCAACACAGGACTACAGCATTTACGGCAATGATACCTGGAAGAAAGTAATTAAGAGAGCTGAGTAAGAAATGTGGGGACACATAAGGAGGATGATGCTTGCAATTAAACTTAAAGAATCCCAAGGACAAAATGAAGTTTGTGTAAGCTGAAGATGTTACCAGTGACTGTTCTCTGTCCTTCTGTGAGGCTGCCCCAGAAGTCATCCACCAAGGACATCAGGAGGATGAGCTGCCGCTGGAAGCCAGACAGCTGGTTCCACCAGTCATGCCAGTAAGCCATGTCCTGGGAGCCCTGGTAAAATATGAAAGTTGTGTTGGTTAAATAAGCTTAAAGCAGTGAAGGAGTGATCCAGCAAGTCTTTTGTCACAAACCTCACCTCTGATAAATTTTCTGACTTCTCTTCCTCTTTTGCAGACTGAACTTTTGACTTGAGGGTCTCATACTGCAGAATGGCCGCCGCACCAAAGGAGCAGCCTGTAAACTAACATGGAGTCAGACAACAGCCAACAACACCCTATACGGTGGCAAAACCCCATGGTAAGTAAATGTTTACGCTCACTCTATTAGAAATATTAGAGGACCTACCCCAACCGTGAACATCAGAGGTTTGAAAAGAGTCGCCCTAGGGACTTTGGGGCGAGGAGGAGGACCTGGTGTGCCAGCCTCAGAGGGAGAAGCTTTTGTTTCTTGGGTGACATTTCCTTGTTTCGTTTCTGATCTTTTGGCCTCCCTACGGAAACCGCACCTCTGTTGGTTGTGGGGGCTTAGTCTGAGAAAAAAATCAAAAACAATAATTTATACATGGACAGCTATAGACAATCAAAGATAAACAACCTGTAAAGAAAAGCTATATGAAAACTGTAAAACCAAAGCTTAATTGTCTTGACTTTTTGATCTAACTCGATGATTTTTTGATTTGATGTTGTGCATATTTTGCATTATCGATGAATTGATTAGTTTATGCAGTGTCCGAAATATTGAAATATGGGGGTCATTACGTCACAAAGACCATTATGATGTGATGTGGATTTCCTTGTTGTTGATATGTTTGATGATGAAGAAATTCGCCGTTGAGACTGACTTGCTTTCAAAGAGTATAATTTTTATTTAAGCAAGAAACAGAGTCACTGGACACGTCTGACCAGGAGGATCAAGAAGCCAAATAATGATCTCTCCTGAACATACAGAGACAATCGCCTACATGCACCTAAACATCTACTTTTCATCATGGGTCATAAAAAACATCATGTAACACACCCATATTTGACAATACTCCTACACAACACCTCAATGTAAACATTCAACTTGAGGGGACTCCTAAATCTCCTTCAGATACAAACTCTCTCCAGATGTATATGTTATAAACTTAAAGGAGCAGTATATTATCTCTGTCCTAGTTACTTCAGATACTTCAGATGATTCCAGGTTGCATGTTTTGTATAACTTTTGGATAAAGACCCATCACATTTAGATCTCATTCTAGAAACCAATACTGGTAAATATTTAGCGTGTTTGCAACAAACAAACAAAACAAGAAGTTGACGGGGCAACTTGTTATCAAAATGGATATGCATTTTCTCTTGAATGTTTAAATGCTAAATAAAGCTCTGTTGTGTGGCATTGCACAAAATTTTGCTAAGTATACAGGTCAAGTATACCTAACTTTTAAATGGACTATCCTTAGGTTACTTGTTAATGCATAGCTTCTGGTAGCTAATTTATTTATCAGGCTTTTGATTGAATAATGTAAACACCAGTTAATGGGAGGGGCGTGACATCAGGCAACGTAATGCTGAACAGCTTCGCTACTTAAAAACAATTAAATACAGAAAACACGAAGCGCAATATCTTGTTAATTTGACCTGTAAAGTGTACAAAAACACGCTGTCTCGTGTGTCTCTTCACAATGACAATTAGGTAACCACACACTGCTGGTCGAGAGGAAACACACACACACACATATCCTGTCGCTATTATTCTTGTTTAGAGAGACTCTGCATTCAAAACCGTAATATTTGCCCACCTGGATGAACGCGAAGTAGTGTTGGTGGATCTAATGAACTCTGTTTTGGCCCATTTCATTACGCATCCTCTCCACGCCATGTTTGTGATGACCTCCTGACTGAAGCTCCGCCCACTGCTAGACTAAAGCTGCGTTTAGGGTCTCGTTTATAAGCTCCGACTTCTGAGTTCCGCGAAATTGCTGTTGTAAGGACTTTTTTTTAGGTTTGGAGGGAGTCAAGGATCTTTTTGTAAAAGCTGCATACTTGTTTTACCGAATTATTTGGTTTAGCACAGAATTTTAAAATGCAACTTTAGAACAACTTTAGTAGCCATCCATTTGATAAAGCAGGTTATGTCAATTTTAAATTTCAGTAAAATTATATAAATGTGTTCTACTAAATGTTACATATTACACTTATTTTCACTTAGTATAATTAAGTCACAGAGCTTACAAAAACATGTATGTGAAATTTCTTGCCAAAAATCCAGACTGGTCCTATATATTTACCCGTAAACCCCTCTATTTCAACTTTGCTGAGCACAGGCTGTTTTTGTGTCTATATTTTTAAATGCAAGTGATGTTCGCCCATCTGCGAAATCTTGGGTGGGTTTGGGCTTTCTTGCACCATCAGAGGACAGAGCAAACAACTAGCTGTGGGAGCGTTGCCCACCTGGGGGAGGGGTTACTGCCCTTTGTGATGTCACAAGGTGAATATCTCCAAATGCCTTTATGAGCAGACAGTTTATGAAAGTGGAGCCGGTAAAATACTTTAGTGGACTTCTCTCATAAATGGGGGGCTTATAGACATACTATAGGGACACATAGTGTACCAAAAAACACGGTCAAGTGTATGTTGCATAATGTGACCTTTAACCTTTTATATTTTCTAAATATAGCATAATGCTACATAAGTAAACTGTAAAATTTTAACTGTGTAGCCTATAGATTCTTGTCTTATTTATATTTAGTGGGTTTAAGTAGGCTACACTGAGTGCTATACTTGAAACCAAATAGTCACATTCCTTTTAGAGTTACATCTGTGAGGTTGAGTCTGAAAATGGTGCTTTTAAGTTTCTAGAAACTTGAATGCAGCAGAAAGTGTAAACCTCTGTGTTGCACAGAAATTATGACATTTTTTAATAGTAGCACTTCACTTCCCTCTAGTGGCGTATCAAACTACAGAATTGTCAGATGCAGGAGGTCCAGGCAGCATTGTGACAGAGGTGAAAAGTGACAAGGTCTGTATGCTGAAGTATTAATGAACTGGAGTTCTAAGATAATTATTACTGGACTTACTGTCTTTAACATCTACTTTATATTTCCACTGGGAGACATTTCAGAGGAAAACATTTTATATTTATTACACTCCTTTTTATGACAATGTATGACTATGCAAAATAAGGGTTTATGTCAATAACTAAGGAATATTTTATGATGCTCATTTAACATTTTGGCAGAAAAGGGAAAGCACAGCTGTACATTTTGAAATTTAGGACTAGTAATTTTCCACTGCTGCTATTTTCACTTGATTAAGTATCCAAGAACTCCCTCAGTCACTGCAGATTGACTTCCAAAATGAAAAATAAAGATGAAATAAATCTAGAAGCTAAAAATGAAACAGAGACAGTGAAAACACGATAAGATCATTATTGAAAACACAATTTAACATTTTTTACACTTACACATTTAAGAAACATTTGTGAAGAAGCCTTGGCGGTAGCTAAACAGTATTAATGGCCCTGGGTGTTGCTATTGGCAGCTGGTCAAGTTCCGAAAACTTCCCCCATCCTTGCCAGTGACTCCAGAAATAGGTGAGGAAGGTAGAATTTACAGTGAGGAGGCTGCACTGCAGTGCTGCAGAGTAACTAGGGCTCACCTCCAATAAAATATCTATACTGGACTTACTGTGATAATTTAGCGAAGGACAATATTGCACTGAAATACGCTGTAATAAGGCTATAGAAAAGAATAAAGGCAGTTTAGGAGTAAAGGGGTAATTAATCTTGACTAAAGCAGACAAAGCATCCCATGGGACATTATAACACAACCAAACACTTCTGCAAGAAAATTATATAATAAGCGGAAGTGCTGAGGTTTCAGTGGACAAAGAAAGGAGAGCAATATGCCTTTGCCACTGTAGGGACCCAAGGACACACTGCCAAGTCAGATGATATCCTATGGGTGCAGGTCTGGGGCAGGGGAGGACGGGAAGATATGGGAGAGGAGAAAGAGGAGGGATGAGGAGAGCAGAGGGGGGTAGGGAGGGGTGACAGTGATAAGAGTGAGCATAGGACGGATTAAGGTGGAGAGGCCAAACAGAGGGAGCGGAAGAGGGAGGAGAGTGGACGAAGGAGGTGAGAAACATAAATATTTAAGAGGCCGCACAAGAAGGTATAAAATCTGTTAGATTTTGGTAAAATAGCCACCTAAAATGCTGCAGCCCTGCTCTGCAAATACATTACCCTCATACACACACACACACACACACACACACACACACACACACACACACATCTCTCTGACTCTGTAGAGGACTATAGGCTCCTTTCTGATCAATGCAGCAGAGGTGTCCTCTTTCAGGTCCTCTTATCGATTTGCTGTGAACTGACGCCAGCCTGAATTCGCCTGTGTCGGCAGCATGGCAGGGAGGCCTCGGTCATATGACAGGAAGTACAATGTTTGAAACCAGAACTCTTTATTAACATAGGGTATCCATTAATTTAACTTCAACTTTGTGAAAAGAGTGAATGTAAAAGCAACCCTGCGTCCCTCACTTATATTTGTGCTATGTTTTGAATAAATGAGCAGACACTTGATGCCAGACGTCATTCGGCCTTGAGGTTTCTATTTCAGTCCAAAAGCTAGAAACATCTTATACCAGCAGCACGGTCTTTTTATACCAACACATGACACTCTAGCTGTATCATAGCGTCCCATCAGATTGCTGACTGTATGCTTTCCAAGACACTGATCAATGGACCAGTGTGATTATACAACACGGTTACTTGTTTTCTGCTTTTTTTCCTGCATGGATTTTGAGACTTGGTGGTCAGTGTGTGAGCGGTATTTTGTGATAAGTGTGATTTTAAATACCTCCAGTATTGGGAAGGCCTGATGTTTGTTTGGCCCCAAATACCCAAAAGCATCAGCTTCTCACAATTGATTAAGATCACTCAAAAAAAACGCTGTTATGTGAGGATTTGTTTTGTTATTGTTTTTTTTATTTTGGTCAAAAAATATAAATTACAGTATGAAAGGTGTACTTGAAAAAATAATAGAGCATGTTGTGCCTTTGAGTGTATCTGACCTGGCAGTTCACACTGATTTCATTACACAATAGCTGAAACTTCCTCAAGAGCTTTTTGCACAAATCCACCCCCCCCCCCCAAACAGCCAGCTCATTCTGAATTCACAGTTCAGTGTGTGTGTGTGTGTATTCTGAACACAATGTATTTCCTTATTCTACAGCAGTATAATTAACAAGCACAATAACAAGTCAAATGCTGAGGACACAACTATTGATTCACAATGCATTCATTAAAAATTGATGTTTCTCAGAAAAAAATATCATCTGGCTTTGCTTACAGTAAAGCAGCTCGGTACAGTGTGTCAGTCAGCTTGTGTGTGAGGAATGAGCTAGCCACTGTGGGATAGAGGTGGAAAATATGAACTTAAACTTTGTAGGGAAGTGTTTAAAATAAGATAGTAACATGAAGAAACTCACTGGCACTTTGCATTAACCCATTCTTACTTTCTCTGGCCTTATGGTAGATGCTTACAAAATTACAGTAATTTTCTGGATCTGATTTTTTTTTTTTCTGGTTCCATGCTCTCAACATATTTACTTCATCTCGTTTTAAGTAAAATGCTGTAGGCTATATGATAATGGTTTGTTGCTTATTTTAACAGCAGCTTCAGTGCCTATAGAGTTCTGAGACAACCTTTCCGAAGAGGGAATGTTTAGACCAATAATTAGGGTTGAACAAAAAACAGGGCTATGCAGAATATGATGGGTATCTATAAAATATATCTGTAAAGTAGGCTTAGTATAACCGATTGGTTTATATGATCATCAGTAAAACATCAGTATAAATTGTAAGTACTCTGGTTTGTAAGAAAATGAAAATGCTGTTTACACTGTTTGCACATTTTCTTTACTTCTGCATCAAGACACATTGCACACCCAGCATTCTCTCTCACACCCCCCCCCCCCCCTTCCCCAACTCTAACACACACACACACACACACACACACACACACACACACAGTCCTCACCCTCCCTTAGTTTTTACCTGAATCCTCACTCCACCTTACTCAGAAACACTCGCAAACAACAAGGGCTAAGCAGCACGAGCTCACCGAAGAGCTTTGTATCCGGTGTCGCTGCAGCGAACGCGTGCCACCAAAAAGGGGTCTCTCAGATGGTTCTCATTCAGAAAAGAATTACTTAAGACAACAGAAAACTTGCCCCCCTCTCTGCTCGGCTGTCCCAGCTGCAGAAAACGAGCGCGCACCAGCTCCGAACGCATTCTCTCTCCTAACGTCAGGCAGCACCTTCAAACTTCTGCACCGCAAGGGGACATGAGTGATAAAAACGCCGGTAAGAGACCTCCACGTGTTTTGTACATGATGAAGTTTAGACAAATGTATTTTGCTTTTCGGTTATATTTTGGACCTTGTAATGCTTATTTGTTTTGATTTTTTTTGTGTAGCACAGACTGCGGAACAAAAAAAAAATCACTCTAACTTTTATTGTTGTAGGCTATTAAATGCATGCAGCAAAGCACTTCATCCAATAGAGCCGGTATGGACTTTATAGCTTGAGCTGATCGTTAAGCCGAATTATCCTGTGTGCATCTTCACATGCTTTGGTACTGCAGCGCGGTGCTGCTGCTGCTGTATCCCGGTTCGTTGCTCTGTCGTCCGCCTCCACCAGTTTGCTCTCCCCGGGATGCTCCTTACCCCTTTTACAGCGCGAGTTATAATAAACATGTATTTACATTATTACAGCCTACCACTGGCATGCCTATTGAATGAAGTTTAGCGTGCACATTAATGCAGCTTGTGCCAACATCAGGCCTGTATAACAGTGTTTCAGCCCCAGTGTGTCGCATGGTAAACGGC